CCAAGCGGGTAGGTGAGGGAGGCTGGCGGTCTTGGGCGCAAATACGTGGCTGGAGGGGGATGAGGGGCTGGGGCAGCACTGTGAGGGGCGGTGTAGACCCCCTGCTCCAGACCTTAGGGAACTGGCTGTAGGAGCAGCCCCCCCCTCCCACGAGCTCTGCCTGCCAGCCCTGGCCGGGCACCCCCAGCGTCATGTTCTAGCCTGCTGTGCTGAAAGTGACAGGAACAGCTTTGTTGCAGAGGGTGAGTTACATGGAGCCCGGAGTGTGTGCCAGCTGGTCATCTGGGGGCCCCAGAGCTGGCCTTGGGGCATGTCTCATCCACCCAGTCCGCCTCTTCTCCCCCTACGTCCCACCTGCAGGCGGTCCTGTGTCATGCCGCCTTCCCCCCCCACCCCCAGCCCACAGAGAGTTTCGACAGTGTCCTACCCCCACTTCTGTTCCCCTCTCATGGCTCTGTCACACTGCCCAGAGTGAGCCTTCCCACCTGCAGGTCTGACTGGGTCATCTTCCAGGGCCTGAAAGTCACTGTGGCCTGGCCTGGGCTCCAGGGTACCTGCAGCCTCGTCCCCTCTCCCTCCCAGAGGCAGCCCAGGGACCCCCACAGTGGACTTTGTGGCCTCTGGCCTCTGTGTGAAGTGCCCCTGCCCAGGTCCATCCTCCCTGCAGTGACACCAGCGCTCCCTCTGAGCACAGCCCCGCCTGCTTCCCTGACTGGCAGGTTCCCTGGGGGCAGGTGGGGGCTCATTCACCAGACAGGCCCTGGGAGCCCTTGTGACTTCTCCACTTAGGCCCCACCTCCCTTGTCAGCTCAGGCTCCGAGTCCGGCTCCAGAGGCGGGCCAGGGCAGGAGCTGTAGCTGCAGACCCTCCTCCCCAGCCAAACCGCCCACCCCTCAGCCTCCTACCCGGACGCCTGACTCCTATTTCGGTTGCTGTGGGTAGAACCCAGAGCCCTCTGGCCCTTTCTTGAAGGGGCAGAGGTAGACAGGCCTCGGACAACCACTGCCTTCTCTGGATGTGACCCCACGGGAAGGGGACACACTTGGGCCCAGGCAAAGGGAGAGGGACCCCTCCGCCCGAGTCCCCTCATAGAAGGAGCAGCCTGGTCACTGGAGGCCACCCTTGTTGGGACACTCCCACAGCCACCTGCGTGGCCCCTGGGTAGCAGTGTGTGTGAGGGGCCCACGTGGGTGAGGGGTGTGCACGAATGGAGCTGTAGGAGGACTGGAGGGAGGGACCTGTGTAACCCGCTGCAGACTCGACCGTTCCCCAGCAGTCCCCCTACACCGGGCAGTGTTGGTGGCTGGTCCACGGGGGAGGGCGGGCACCCCCACGCTGAGCCCTCACTGCTGCTCAGCCCCTCCCTCTGTTGATCACCTCAGGGGAAGACAAAAGACCTGGATGGATCACGACTTTGAGATGCAGCCTCACGGAGCCCCAGGGCCCAGAACTTCCTTCTCTCGAAGCCACCTGCTGGGGCGCCCAGCCCGCCCCTCCCGGCTCCCTGGAGGGGTGTCCCCTCTCATCCCTGTTCTCAGGAAGACCATCCGTCTGGACGCCTTCCCTCAAAGCCACGGCCCACAGGCATCCGGCCAACCGGGCCCCAGAGCCAGGACCCGGAGTGTGCCCCCGCCGGAGACTGGCAACAGCCTCATGCCCAGGAAGCTCAGCTCCATTTCCTTGACGCTCCGTCAGAACAGCCAGGCATGGGGAGAGGTGCCCACCCTGGGCAAGGAGGCTGCCATCCACGGAGGAGGGAGGCTGCCCACTCGGGACTCACCGTCTGTGGCCCTACTGCCAGGGGGCAGGGTCCACTCTGAGGGCCCAGGGAACCCAGGTCTGGCCAGACCCAGCAGGATGCCCGTAGTGGAGAAGCCCCTGGTGAGTTCCTACCTGGCTCTGCCTTTCCAGTCCCGGTCGGCCCAGAGTCTACCGGGTCCTGCAGGGCCAGGCTCGGCGGCTCAGAGGCACCCTGTCCCACTGACTGCCCATGTGCCTACCAGACCTTCCCCAGGAAGAGGCAAGTTCAGGTCCAGGGGTATCCCGAGACCCTGGCCACATCTCCAAAGGGCCACGTCTACAGTGGAGCCTGCGACGGCCATGGGTTTGGCGACTCCGGACACAAGGCCAGGCACAGGCAGATATTTCATCACAGTGGCCACCAACAGACCTAACTTGGCTGTCAACTTAGCCGCACTGAACACATCCAGACTGGACACAGGCACCGAGCTCCGAGCTCCAGATGCCGGACTGGGTGCAGCCAGGCGGGGCCTGGTCACGGACCGGGTAACGCCAGACCTGGACAGGCTAGGCGAAGCCATAGCTGCAGCAGGCGCAGCCAAGCCACATACAGTGACAGGGGACACAGCTGCAGACTTGGCAGCCCGAGACCCAGTCAAGCCGGGCACAGCCAGGCCGGACAGAGTCCTGGCTTTGGATAGAGCAAGTCCCGCCAGGTTGGACGTAACTACGGATTCTCTTGTCTTGGAAACAAGCAGTCTGGGCGCAGCCACGGGTTCAGTTGTGCCGGCTGCCCCAGACCCAGCCATTGGGGAGACCACACCGGACACTGTCAGTAACCTGACCACCGCAGACACTGCCACCTACCCACGGACGTCGAGCAGAAGCACAGACCCAGGCCTGGACCACTCTACAGCAGATGCTGCCAGAGACCTGCCCAGAGAAACCAAAGGTAAATGCAAAGAGCTCGGCCGGGCTCCTGGGAATCAGGAGGGGGCGGAGGGGTGATGGAAGGGCCTGGGGATGGATTATACTTGGATAGGTCAGAAAGGGAGGGGGGCTCTAAGGTCAGAGTCAAATGCATGGAGGTGGGTGCGGGGGGAGGCAATAAGAGTAAGGGCAGAGCGCAGGGGATGCACCGTGAGCTGGGACTCGACCTGCCAGGCAGGGTCAGCCTGAGGGAAGTCACCAGAAGAGAGGTTAGCATCTGCATGGCTGTTTCCGGGTTCCAGGAAGTGCTGGCATGATCCAGTGACTTGTAGGTGGGTCCAGGTCGAAGCAAACTACCCACATGAAAACACAGACCTGCACTTCAGTAAACAGTGGTTAGTCTGACAGTCCTCGCCGGCTGGGTTCCTCTGGATGAGAATAGTGACCTCGCCAGAGACCGCCTCCGTCACTCACATTTGGCCTTTCAGGGAGATGGCTGTTGCTTAAGAACTGTCTCACCTGGAATTCGCTCTCTTGGTCCCCCACCCCAGTCCCTTTAGTGCTGAAAAGTGAGTTGGGAACTTGCATACGTGGAAGTCCTAGATAGAACTGTGAACAGGTCAGCACAAGTGCCCAACATTCATTTGGTCTCAGAGAGCCTGTGACATGCTTCCGGTCATGCAGCTGGCTAGTGGCAGTAAGCTGGTGGGAACCCAGATCTTGGACTCCTACTTTGGGGCATCTCGTTCCCAACACTTCCAAGGCTCAGGGAGCCTGGCCCTGGCAGATGCCTGGAGGCACCCAGTCCAACACCCTCACTAGGGCTTTGGAGCTCTCCCCGGTTCCGGTCTGCCCTCCGTCCTCAGCCCAGCCTTCTCTCCCGAAACGAAAGCATGGACAGCCAGCAGCCCGCTGCCCCCTCTACCCACGTCCGGAAGCGTCCCTTTTCCTCCCGAACTGACTCCCGCCCTCCCTGGTCTCGCTCTCTCAGGTGCAGAAACCTGGGTACCCCTCTTCATCTGCTCTCTCTTCCACCCCATCCAGTCTACTTCCAACTCTGTTCATTTACCTCCTGGACTGTCCCCTCCCCTCCATCGTCCGCCTAGGGATGCCACGGCTCCCCTCCCCCCAGGGCTCTGTCCTCCACGCAGCTGCCCCAGGGACTCACATATTTGACGGCAGCCCTTTCAGCCTAACAGCCATTGGTGGCTCACCGCTGTGCTCTGTTCAGGTCCAGCTCTTTCATCTGGCGTCCAAGGCCTCGGCCTCCTCCAGCCTCTTAGCTCCATGTCCTGTCTGGAATTGTCCCTGCTTCGGCTGCAGCCGGGAGCTCTGGTTGTCCACCAACAGCACCATGCAGCTCTTCCCGCTGGGTTCCTCACCTCCGCTGCCCCCTCAGCACACAGTGCCCTTCTGTCCTTCCCTCCCACCGCCTTTTGCCTTTCTGTCTAGGCCCATGCTGCCTCCGAGAACCCCACAATCCCTCTCTCCTCAGGGTACCCACCTCCATGCCCCCAGAGTACCCCTGCATACCCCCCCCCCACATTAGGACAGGCCAGCTTTCTTTCTCCCCTACCGAACGGGGGAAGCCCTCTGAGGACAGGGAGGGCCATCCTCATCCCTGTTCCCCTAGGGCCTGGCAGCGCGCTGTCCGTTAATGCTGATGGACTGCATGACAGATTTTTCCGATGGGTAAATTAAGACTCAGGAAAGTTCCTGAGCAGCTCAAGGTCATAGGGCACATCATCCCGGAGCCAGGCCTGGAACCTGGGCCCCTGACTCGGGGCTCTACAGGCACCCGCGCTGGGGCAGAATCCCGCTGGGCCAGAGCAATATCCCAACCTCTGCGTGACTCACGCGCGCGCACCGCCGCCCACTGCTGCCCCACGGAGCAGCAGTGCTGTCCCCGGAGCCCCACGCCGCGCCCCAGCCTGGAGAGTAAGAGGCTGGAGACGGATCCCAGGGAACAGACCAGGGTTGGGATGCGGACACCTTCCCGGGCCCGGCATCCCGAGCCTACGGTTACAGCGCCCCTGTGTGCCTCCTGGGCCGCCCGCTGCCGGGTGCCCGCTCGCGTGTACGGACGCGCGGGGAGCGGGAGAGGGCGCGGGTGCCGTGGAAGGGGGAGGGGCTCTCAGCGGGGCCGGCGGGCGCGCGGGTCACGTGGTGCGGGTGGCAGCGGCGGCGGCATCGGTGCGCGCGGGCAGGAGCAGAGCGGCGCCCAGCGAGCAGCGGCGAGGTCCCGGGCGGGTGCGGCGGCGCGGGGCGCAGGGGCGGCGCGGCCGGGCCGCGGGCCGGGCGGGTGGGCGGAGAGCGCGGAGGGGCGAGGCCCGGCTGCGGGGGCCGCTTGGCCCAGGAGGAGCCCGCGCCCCGCTCAGCCTTGCAGCCCCGCGCCCTGAGCATCTCCCGGGAGGAACGGAGACAAAGGAGGATTCATGTCCAAAGGTAGGGCGGCTGGCCGGCCCACCGGCGCCCGCCAGGAGGAGGCTGCGGCCCCGTAAAGCCCGGCTGGAGGTGCTACCAGGGGGAGGGCTGCTGCGCCGTGGAGCCCACGCGCGGTGACATATGCACAGACACACACACGCACGCACGGCGGCACACACCCCAAGATATATATGCCCGGAGAAATTCACCCACAGGAATGCGGGGAGATACGGAGACCCACGGACACGCAAGGAGGGATTCAGATGCACACGGAAAGCCCCTCACGAGCACGCCGAGACACGCACACGCATGCACGCCATGCACAGGTATCAGGGCCACCTACCACCAGGAGCTGACACATAGACAGACCCCTTCCCCCACGCGCAGACAGACACCAGCTGGTGGTCTCCTAGGGAACTCGCTGGCCTCCAGAGAACTGGGATGGGGGAAGGGGGTGTCCCAGGGCCCTTTGCGCTTGAGAATAGGAAAAGACTAAGATATGTTTTGTGATTCCATTTCGAAGAGCGGGGTTCTGGAGCCCGGGTGGACTGGAATTGCCTCCGCGGGTGGGGGTGGGGCCCGGGGAAGCTCTTCAGCTCGGGAAGGAGGGAAGAGCCTCCCCGCCCCCCACCCCACTAAGCCAAGGAGGCAGGTGCCATTCCGGAAAGGTCTCCTCCCACTGCTGCCACCTTCCCAACTGAGGGTGGGGTCCCTGGGCCAGACAAAGACAAAGCCATTCATTGCCTGTGAAAGAAAGCACCAGAGCCCTTGTTTGGCCTGTCGAGGGAGCTGCTGTTTCTGTGGGGGGCTCAGCCAGAGCTGAGTCAGGTGGAGCGCGCGTGCCTCTCCCTGGGGCACCGATGGGCCAGGTGGCTCCTGGCGGGGGGCCCTGGGAGACCTGGGAGCCGAGGAGGGGCTTCGAGGACCATCTAGGCCAGATGGCATATTTGAGCTATGTCCTGCTGTGGCCCTGTCCTGAGCTCTTCCCCACCCGTGGGAAGCCAGCCCCTTTCGGCCCCTGCCGTGGGGAGGAAGCAGGTCTTTTTAAACAAGAGCGTCCCCCTGGACTGTGGCCTACACGCAGGCACCATTTACGGGCTGGGGGTCAGCGGCTGTTCGAGGAGCTTCTGAGGGAGGAGGAAAGTAACATCTGCCTGACGGTGAGACATTTGCTCACTCATTCATTCATTCATCATTCACTCATTGCTGAGTGCCCGCGTTATGCTCTGCACTTTGGGCACAGAGTGCGGGGAGACACGGCTCGCCCTAAGAAGGGCAGAAACCAGTGTATGTTCGGTGCCGGGTGACTTATGTCCTCGCTTCCGTGTAACCTTCACAGCAACCCATCAAGGCGGGTGCTGCCCCCATTTTCCTGAGGAGAACAGTGAGGCTCACAGGGGCCACCCAGCCAGGAATCAATCCCCATCTGGGGTTGGCAGGCGGGACACGGGCGGGGTGGGGGGACTGTAGGTGCAGAGGGTGGAGCTCCGGAATTCCAGAGCAGTATTTGTCCTGTGCCCTGGAGGTCTTTGTGGACTTGTCCCGAGCAGGCCCTCAGGGCCAATGACCTTGCCTGGGGTCCAACAGTGTCCTTGGCATTTCGTGTAGGGTTTGGGTGGAGTAGGCTCCTATTTGACAGCATGCGTGAGAAGTAGCCTGTCAGGGATGGCGGAATGAATGAATGAATGAGATGAACACCAAGGGACTCAGAGACTGAGGCAGCGCAGAAGAAGGGCACCTCTACCCACATGGGCAAGTAGAGGCTTTCTTGAGGCGCAGCCCTTGAGCCCTCGGTGAAGGAAGAGCGGGAGTTAGCCAGGCACTGGAGGGGCAGAGGCCTCCCAGCAACCCGCCCTGCGTTTGCAGTGCTCGAGGCTGGTGGTAGTTGGTGTGGAACTGGAACGTGTGTGGGGTGACTTGCCAGCGAGCGCTCTTCATGGTGAGCGCAGTGGGTGTTGGTAGGTGCTCGCTGGGGGATGTCTGCCCATGCACCGGACCTGCAGCGGCCCGGCCACGGCGAGGACACCCGCTTTGTAAGAATCCTCAGAAAGACTCCCGTAAATAAGGACAAGACTCACTTTCCAGGTGTGGAGCCCCCACGGGCTCAGCTGTGGAGGCACAAGGGAAGAGGGAAGGGCCAGCGTGTGTGCAGCTGGGCAGGGAAACCGGCACTGGCCCCGGCGCAGGTGTGCTGAGTGGCCGGGAGCCACGCGGGGAGTGTGGGGGAGCCGGCGGCTGAGAGTCAGTCAGCTGCTGCGGGCTGAGCCAATCTCGCTGCCAGCTGCCTGGCCAGCAACAGCTTCCTGGGAAGCAGGAGGGAGCCCGGCCAGGCCCGGGGAGGCCCAAAGCTGTGTCAGATTCGGCTGTGCCTGGGAGTGGCAAGGAAAGAACATTTTCCCATTGGGAGGCAGAGTCTTGCCAGGACCCGAGGAAGGGCCAGGTGGTTGGGTGTGAGAACAGACTCCTGGCTGGGGGTGGGGTGGGGGAGGGGGCTCTCCCATCCTCTCACTTCCAGCCCATCCCGTCTTCCAGCAGCCCGCTCGTCAGCTCGAGGCTGCGGGGCCAGCTGGAGGGGCTGCCTGATAAAGTGTGGTCCAGTGACTGCACAGGGTGATTGGCAGCTGGGCACCTCCCTTCGACAAGTGCTTTCACACACGCCCCTTCACCCCGCCCCCCCAGAAGGGGCGGGAGGGACTGGAGCTGTGAGGTGCAGTGTGGGTGCTTCCCGGCGTCATGTCTCACGAAATGCTTGCCGTGGGCTCCTGGGTGGAGGTGCTTTGTCCGAGTCCACGCTTCTGGCACGTAGCGGAGCCAGGCTCCTCCCTCTTCACCCCACACGCCCCATTTCATGGATGGGACAAGGCAGCTGCTCTCCTGAAACCTAGCCTGCTGGACAGCGGCCTGATGGGGACGCATACAGATCTCTCTTAAATGTCTGTGTGATGCCTGTTGGTGACCTGCTAGACCCGGGGGCCTGCGCATTTGCCGCCTGGCGCAGGGTTTTGACCTCCCCTCTGCCACCCACCCTCCCAACAACACGCTGCATCGTCTCAGGCAAGGGACTGCCCTGACCTGGGGCCCATCCTGTCTGCACTGGTCAAAACGGGAGGCGTGTTCCTCCAGCGCATTCAGAGCTCTGGCTAGGAGGGCGGCTGTGGCTCTTCAGGGCACAGACACCCCTACTTTGCAGTGGTGCTCATGGAGCAGAGGGGACACTGGGGCTGGGGGACAGGAGGGATGCTCTCTGCAGAGAGGCAGTAGCTCCATTTGCTTTTAAAAGACAAAGCAACAGAGGTCAGTGACAGACGGTAGAGGTTAGGTCCAGTATCTTGCGTGGTCTTTGCCCTTTATCTGGGGGCAGGCTCAGGTGAGAATAACCCCCCCATCTCTTAGACCGTGGTTCTCCATGAGGGAGGGCCGCGTGGTCCCCAGGGGACATTTGGCATTGTCTAAAGCAGTGTTTGGCTCTCACTGCTGGGGGCTATTCCTGGTATTTAGTAGAGGCCGGGGGTGCCACTGGACGTTCTACAGTGCGCAGGACAGCCCCCCACAGTAACGATTCTGCCCAAAGTGTCAGCAGCGCCGAGGGGGAGAAACCCTCAGGTTAGCCACACAGACGTGGTACTTTGGAGCAGCGAGTGGCCTCAGCAGCTGGAGAGTTGGCTCTGGTCCCGATTCTGCAGCTGACTTGCTCTGTCGTCTTAGGCAAGTCCTTTCCGCTGGGGTCCGTCTCTTCACGTGTGAAATGAGGGACCCGTGCTAGCTGACCTCTCGGGTCCCTTCCAGTCCCAGCTCCGGACCCAGGGACTAATGCTGTGGCTTCCCTGTGACGTCTGCAGCCCACCCCTCCCACCTTGGCTTTTCAGGGCTCCCAGAAAACAGGACGGACGCAGCCATGTCAGAGCTGGTGCCTGAGCCCAGGCCGAAGCCGGCAGTGCCCATGAAGCCCGTCAGCATCAACTCCAACCTGCTGGGCTACATTGGCATCGACACCATCATCGAACAGATGCGCAAGAAGACCATGAAGACCGGGTTCGACTTCAACATCATGGTCGTCGGTACGGAAGGCCGGGGGTCCCCGAGGCCTGGGTGGCAGGCAGCACTGAGGGTTCCATTTCTCTCCCAAGGACGACCTCGGCCCTGGCCTCTCTAGGATGGGCCCCAGCCGGTGTCCGCAGGCTTCCTGTAGCCACGCTCAGCCTGCTTTCTAGTGTGTGGCACAGGGGGCTCCTCAGTGTCCCTCCTTACCTTCGAGAGCTGGGTGGGGGGAGTCGGGTGGGGTGATCTTTTTTTGACATTTTGTAGTATTTTAAAGCTTAGAAAGAACCTTTAGGACACTGATTGGCCACTAAGTGTTGTCACCAGGTCAGAGAGCGATCTCAGTGGGACACTCTGTTGCTGAAACAGGGGCCTGGGCATCATCCTTCTCCTTCCGTCATGACCTGGTCCGGTCGATCAAGTTCCGTCGGTTTTCCCGCAAACCTCTCTCTGGTCTGCCTGCTTCCCCCCCACCCCCTCTCTGCTGCCCCTGCCCAGACCGAGCCGGGTCTCTCACGGGGATGCCACAGCCACCTGACTCGGTGCTGCTCCCAGAGAAGGAGCTGGACCAGAGGGCAAGTCATTGGGAAGTCCTGCTGTAAAACACATCAGCCGAACAGAGCAGTGCACTTAGCGGCGACAGAGCTGGATTCCTTTCCGGGGCAGACTGCTTATCTCGAGAGCCAGTAACCGATGGTTTATGGACCCTGGCTCCAGGGCACAGTGTGAGTGGCACTGACCCTGTTTCTGTCTCTTCGTCTCTTTAGTCCATTGTCTACCAGTGTCTAGATAACCTTTCCAACCTGAGAAACTCAGCAAGGCCCCCATCCGTTAAGCGTAAAGATTTGGACTGCTGGCCTGGCCTGGTTCTGCCTCCCCCCCACGCCGTCTCTCGCCACCCCCCAGGCAGCGTTCAGCTGATCACAAGGGACGGTTCTCCCGAATGCTCTTGCCAGACGCTTTCCTCCCTCTGAGCCTTTGCATATGCTGTTCCCTCTGGCCACAAACCCCTTCCAGCTTCTCATGGGTCATTCAAAGTCACTCAGCTTTAAGCTTAGTTACTGCTTCTTCCTGGAAGTCCCCCTTGGTCCCAAAAAGACTGGATTGGATTCCCTCCAGTATGCTATTAAAATACCCCGTGATGTTTCATTATGGCAACATATTAGAATTGTTTAAGTTTTGGTCTTTCTCGAGGGTAAGGATGGAGTCTCCCTCACCACTCTATCACCAGTCCTAGCATGGCACTTGACACTCAAGAATGCTTAATGAACAGGTGACCTTAGAAAACATCCAGACCGAGAACAGCAAGTACGTGGCACACGGGCCACCTCTCTTCCCAGCAGCACTGCGGCAGGCACCGCCGCTGGGCCCGGTGCACGTGCAGTCTGAGCCCCGATGTGGCCTCTTTAACATATTGGTTGCGGTGGCCACTACCAACTGATCAGTTGGGAAGAGCTACGCACCTTATTTACCATCCCTGGTCACATTCAGTCCCTTCCCTCCCTCCACCTGCTCAGGAAGGAAACCGCAGGGTCAAACATGGCCACTCCCAGGCGCCCAGGGAAACAGCACCGTGGGCTCTAGGACCACAGGCCCTGCTACTGGACCTTTTCCTGATGCACCACAGGAAGGCTCCAGACCAGCGCCTCGGCCTTTACTGCCCGTGTGGTCCATCCAGAAGACCCGTTACCAATGCAGACTCTGGATGATAGGGTTGGGGGGCGGCTGGGATCCCACATCTCCTACCGGCATCTGGGAGATGCTGCTGCTGCCCAGCAAGGCTCGCTGTGACTCTGGGGTACGTCAAAGTTTGAGAAGCACTGCTCAGACCAGTGGTTTCAAATGCCTTTTTGCTGCAGAGCCCCCTTTCGTGTGCTCCGTGGAACGAGGTCTGTAGGCCTGCGCGTGTGAACTGGCCCGAAGGGCGCCATCGTGAAGGAGGCACAGGTGAGGGGCTGGCTCTGCCCGCTCCTTCTGCCTCTGTCACCGGGTCCTTCCAGGCATCCTCCTCCGTCACACGCTGACCACTACACGGCACTAGGATGCAGAGTGGATATGGGCCAAGGGGTTCCTCGGGTTCAAGTCCTGGTCTTACACATCTTTTATGTTAGCTGGGGCTTACTGTCTCCAGGACAACTTCAGCGGGGATGGAAGCTGGCTCTGCTGCCGGACTCGCAGGGCTGACAGAAGGCATTCACACACGGGCCGCGCCAGAAGGCAAAGCAATTCTGTCGCTGAAGACTTCAGTGACACACAAAACAAAAACCTGCTTCACTAGACAGATGCAGGGGTTGTCTCCTTTCTGGATGGCCGTGGGGCTCCAGGAAGGAGAGATGCGGGGTCTACCATTCTCTCCATCACACAGGAAACCATCCCCATCTGCCCACGATCCCTGCTCAGCCCCTCCCCTCCCAGTGAGCAGTCAAACAAGGGCGTGGCCAGCTCAAGAATTCCGTAGGGTCCTGGGAGAGATCTCAGGTTCTGGGTGTGGCCATAGGGTCTCCCTGCCCTCTCTTCCTCCTGTCTTGCTCAGGTCAGAGTGGGCTGGGCAAGTCGACACTGGTCAACACGCTCTTCAAATCCCAAGTGAGCCGCAAGGCTTCCAGCTGGAACCGGGAGGAGAAAATCCCCAAGACAGTGGAGATCAAGGCGATTGGGCACGGTGAGGACTGGGGCAGGGGACCCCATGGGCATCGGTCAGAGGCCACTGCCTCTGCCAGAAAAGGGGAGGAATGGGGCCTATTGGGAAATGAAACAAATGAAAGACAATGTTAGTACAGAATAGAATTAAACTCTAAACCCTATGGAGCCAACTCATTAGCTTGCAAGTCCAGAAGCGGGAGGAAGAGGGATTAGGAAAAAAAAAAAAAGAAAGAAATGGGGTTTAAGCTGGCCAGTAGAGCCTGGGAGGGATTTAGACAGGCAGCAAGAAGTAGGGAGTTCCTTCCAGGTGCAGGGGGCAGCATGAACAAAGGTGCTGAAGTGGGGAAGACCCTGAACTTGACTTTTCCAATAATTGGTCCTGAAGAAGGAAGGAGCCTGAGCCTCCCTGGCTGGTAGGCAGCAGGGCACCTGGCGTCCCCTGGAGGAGTCACCTCCCTGCTGCCTTTTCTGTTCACACCCCCAGTGATCGAGGAAGGTGGTGTCAAAATGAAGCTGACTGTCATCGACACCCCTGGCTTTGGAGACCAGATCAATAATGAAAACTGGTACGTGTGTGCCCTAAAACGGCGGGGGAGGTGCTGAACGTGGGGCAGGTCCATCCGTGTCAAGAACCGTCTGTGCTGTCCCTGCCGAGCGATCAGTACCTTCCTGAGGATGGGGGAGGGGCTGTAGGGAGGTGAGGGGAGAGGTCCAGATGGGGGCTGGGCATGGGGGGGGTGGAGACGGTGCAGGGGGGATTTTGGCAGAGGGATGGCCTGGCGGTAGCAGCAGGGGCGGGACAGACAGAACAAGGGGACCTGGGGTGTGAATCCAGGCTGACCTGGACAAAGAGAGAAGGAGTGAGAAGCAGGAGGGAGGGGAGCTGCCATGAGGCTCAAGAGCCTCTGCAAATCCACAGAGCGAAGCTGTGGTCAGCGAGCGACAGAGAAGGGGGTGGATGGGCCGCCCGGAGTGTGGGTGGAAGGTCCCAGCCGGAAGCTGGTTTTCAGGTAGAAATGGAGACCACAGTGCCTCTGTGAGGGAGCTGGGGTCTGCCAGTGACCGGCAGGGCCACCGAACGAGACAAGTTAGAACAGTCTTAGAAAAGTGACTGCATGTCCTCTTCTCTGGTTATACACATGCTCCTCGATAGAGAAAATAGTGACGATGACAACAGTCATGCTAATGAATTGTCGTTCGATCGTTCTGACTGAGTGTCCTTTCTGATCCTGTGGGCGTCCCGCCCGTCACCTGCGCTCTCTGCCATTTTACTCACGAGAACCCTGAGTCTCAGAGAGGGGCAGAGCCTTCTCCAGACCTCCCAGCTAATAAGGAAGGGAGCTGGGGAAGGCGTGCAGCGCCCTCTGGAGGGCGGTGGCTTCCGCAGGCTCCCTTGGCCCAGTCAGAGGGCCAGGTGCCTGCAGGAGTTCTAGCCTTTGCTAACAAGGAAAGCCATCCACGGAGGCTGGGAGGAGGCCGAGGGAGAATGCTCAGCAGGAACCGTAGATGCCCTGGGGGAAGTAGGAAACGAGATGGCTGTAAGGGGACGTATCCACAGAGAGCTCCCCGGTTCTGTGCTGCTGGGACACTCACCTGCTTCCTCCCCCACCCCACTCCCGCCTGCAGCTGGGAGCCCATAGAGAAGTACATCAACGAGCAGTACGAGAAGTTCCTGAAGGAGGAGGTGAACATTGCCAGGAAGAAACGCATCCCCGACACTCGTGTCCACTGCTGCCTCTACTTCATCTCCCCGACGGGACACTCGTATGTACCAGTCCCAACCCCTGCGCGGGGCCTGGCTCTGGTCCGCACCATCTGTGCCCATTCTGTAGTCCATTACCAATACACGGACTTGCTGGGGAGGGCCAGATGGGCCCCACTATGGCCACGGCCCTGCGATTCCCCAGACCTTCCCCAAGGAAGTCTGGCTTCCTTGCCAGGAGAGTGCAGCTGACCAGCCTCAGCCGCCGTGCTGCCTCTGGTGCTCTGGCACCGCCGCCTGATTGTGCCCCTCTCAAAAACAGACGTTGGTGCACCGGAGCAGAGGGCTTCTTAGTTATTCAGTAGACACCTGCTTTGTACAAGTCTGGGTGGGGTGGGCGCAGCAAGCAGGGTTAAATGTCAGGGGGCAGGGCTGCGGGGTTGGGGCTGGTGTTTAGGGTGGGAGTGGGACCCAGCCGTAGGTGTTTGGAGGGTGGCCAGCCCAGCACAGGGTGTCGAGAAATGAAGACTGGCAATAAGCAGGGCATGCTGGGAAGTCTGGCTGTGCGCAGCGGGTGGGGCTGCCTGAGGGCGCACTGGCAGAGCGTGGAGAGAGCACTGTGCAGGCAGATGACCTTCCTGTGGGGGAGGTCTCACAACTTACTGCCAAGCCCAGCTGCCAGGCCAGAGCTCTGTTCTGGAGAGGTCGGCACAAGCGAGGTGGGGCCCAAACTTGGGAGGAACCCGGTGCTCAGCGGGTGGGGCCCAGGAACTCAGTAAAATGATTAGCGTTATCGCTCCCTAGAACTTGGACTCAAGGTCTGCAGGGAAGCAGGCAGCCTGACTCAATAAGTCCCCTGACTGCAAACTGCAGCCAGAGCCCGGGTGGAGCTGGGCCCTCAGATGGGGGACCCCCTAGCAGCAGGACCCCTAGTTGGACCCCTGCAGGACCAAGTGGGGGCTGGGAGGAGGCCTGTCAGAACAAGACACCCACAAGTAACCATGACACAAGGACGTATGGGTGGGGTGACAGTCCACAGCTGTCCCCGCCCAGCAAAAGTCTCGTGAGGGAGTGGTCCAAGTGGGGCTTAGAGGGGGGCAGGATTTGAGGAGAAGGGAGACGGAGGACCGTGTGTGGGCGGACAGGTGGGGCCTGTCCTGCAGATGGCGGGATGGGGGGTACTCATCAGGAGAGAGAGCAGCCTCTTGGCCTCAGCCAGTTCCCCAGCCCAGTCCTCCGGTCCCCAGGGTGGCCCTGGGGTGGTGGCAGTGGCTCAGAGGGCCGGGTGGCTGTGACACTCCACCTTCTCTGGGCCCCAGCTTGCGACCTCTTGACCTGGAGTTCATGAGACACCTCAGCAAAGTCGTGAACATCATCCCTGTCATCGCTAAGGCTGACACCATGACCCTGGAGGAGAAGTCCGAATTCAAGCAAAGGGTGAGAAGGCTCCCTCCCCCTGTTCCTGCCCCCATCCTGCCTTTCCCCTGTCTGGTCCAGGCCTCTCTTGCCTTCCAGTGCTGCATTCACTTCTCCCCACTTCCCACCCAGCTCCCGCTTAGCCACTGAAGAGACTGGGCCGGCAGGGTCTGGGAGCCACTGGCAAAGGGGCCTCCAGAATACATCCTTCCCACCTTCCAAACTTCTAGAGGTCCCTGAATACACAAATCGCTGTGAACATGAGAAACCACTCCTCACTGCTAGGAGGCTTGGAGGACCAGATAATTCATCAAGGCCCTCTAGTCCTTCCTGCCGTTCTCTATAAACTCCTGTACTCCAAGCACCCAGGTGGAGATGGGGAGGGGGGCGTGCCAGAGAAGTATAAAGATAATTATTGCCTTCAAGTAGACCACTGAAGAGGTCCTGGGCAGCTTCCTGGAGGAGGTGAGATTCAAGCTGAGCTTTGAAAGAGGGCAGAGAGGCCTGGGGCGGGCAGACTCGCCCCTCTTCCCTGCAAACAGGAACGTGACCTGTAGCGGCACGAGCACTGCCCATGTGCAATCCGTACTCAGTGGTGCTGTCAGAGTCTGAACCTTACAGACCCGGGAGGAGCGAGCTGCTGCCCCAGACTCTTCCTCGTCTCAGGCGGGGCTCTATTATCGTACAATTGGGGTTCACACTTATTCAGGGCCTCGGGACCCAGAGATGTCTATGGATTCTCAAGGCTGCGTTTAATCCTCTGTCCGCAGCGCACACACACGTGCACACACCCCCTCCCATTATCCTGACACCTGGCTGCCTTGCTTTTCTGTTCCTTGCCTCTAGGTTCGCAAGGAGCTAGAAGTGAATGGCATCGAATTCTACCCCCAGAAGGAATTTGATGAGGACTTGGAGGACAAGACGGAGAATGACAAAATCCGGGTGGGTGCCTGGGGCGCTCCTCGCCACAGATGCCCCCCTCGGTACCTGTGGGATGTGTATCACATCCTGCTCTGGCTTTCCACCTGCTTCTCCCCTTCCATGCTCCCTGCCTCGCCCGGCCCGACCCAGACCAGAAGCGACCTGGGGGAGGCTGAGGACTAGCAACCCCAGCCGGCACTATGAGCCCTGCACCCACAGCCGATGAGACACAGGAAGGCCTCTTCCTCCCACAGCTCTCGGCAGAGCGAGGGTGTGTGGGGTTGGAAGGACGCAGGCAAGGGCAACGTTAGGGTCCAAGGTATCTGTGCTCTGTCAGAGGTCTGCCTCAGTTTCCTTCTCTATAAAATGCAGAGGTCAGACCAGTTGAGTGGCTTGTAGGTTTTTAATTTTTCCCTTGAAGAATGCTTTAAAGAAATTAGGTGTCAGATAGAACTCCGATATGCAAAATGCAAAAACAGAGCTGCTTTGGCTAAGTGACATGGGCACAGAGCCCTGCCCCCTCAGCAGGCTCTGGGGGAGCGCCAGGGAGTCTTAAGGCTTCACGGAGCCTGTGTGGCTGCTAAGCGTCCTCTCTATTCTAAAGCTCTGCCATCCGGTCCCACCTCAGAATCCTGCAGCCTGGTCTGGGCTTTCCTACTCGCCCACCGAGACCTGGGACTGATCACTCACTTGCTTTGGTCGAGTCCCCTCCTCCGGCAAACGGGGGTCAAATACTTGAACCCGTTTCTGATGTAGCGGAGACAGGTAGTTGGTCGTTAATGGAAGAAATCATTTAAAAAATGATGCATGCAAATCACAAATGTTTTAAATAATTATTTTACTACATTATTACATCAAAATGAGACATACACATCACATTCATCAAACATTCTTTTCATGGACAAGGCTTCTTCTTTGAGATTAAGTTCACTCTTTATGCGAAAGCAATTCACCTTTTCTGAAACATTCAACTTAATTTTCAGAGAAACAGCTCTCTCCACTCATGCGTCCTCAGCTTATGTAGCGGTTAGTTTACCAACTATGGCGACAAGCACATGTTGGGCAAATTCATTTGGGAAAAACAGCTGGCTCGTGGGGAACACGCAAGCCACGTGGTTGAGCAGAGGGGTCTTCGCACGTCAGAAAGGGGCTCAGGCTCTGTGAGCTCAGTGGCTGTGCACACCTGTCCGCTAGTAGGTTTTGCGGGAGATGGTATAGAGCGTGTTACTTGGGCTGTCAGTGGGCCGGGTACCACTTAAGAGAGGTCTGTCCATCCCGGCTAGCTCACAGTTCCATGTCAAATCAAACATGAAAAGCGGCATGAAGGATTCTCCTGTTGAAGGAAAGCTGTTACTGAGGTGGGCCGGGGCGGCAGGCATGCGGGCAGGGTTGGATTCAGTGCTTGGGACTCCCAGTCCAGTGCTCTTTTGACAAGACAAGAGCCTTCCCCTTGCCATCAGTGGGACCACTGAATGAACTTCAGAAACGTGCAGTTCCAGGTTGGGGGCCCAGGACTGCATTCCCGCCTGCCCTTGGTGGCCCCGATTGTAGAGGATGACGTGCCCGTGTGTCTGGTCTGTCAGCAGGAGAGCATGCCCTTCGCTGTGGTGGGAAGTGACAAAGAATACCAAGTGAATGGCAAGCGGGTCCTCGGCCGAAAAACTCCCTGGGGGATCATTGAAGGTAACTCAGTGCATCTTTTTGGAGAACTGGCTGCTGGCTAATTATGCGTATTTATTAAGCATGTCTAGGTCAAGGCACTGTCCCAGGATGTAAGATTTAAAGAGTGCCGGGCAAACCCTGCCGGAAGGAGCTGGCAGTGTGATTGAGAAACGAGACTCACAAGGCAGGAAGCAATAAAAGCCTGATTTAGCGCCTCTCCGGGAGGCACCGACTCACGTGTGAGAGGTCTTCGGGGCGTGCAGAGATGACTAAGGACGAGGGACGCCAGGGAAAGGTTTGCACATGAAAGGGGATGCGATCCGACAGACTGCTGAAAGGTTCTTCAGATGTTGCCATTTTTGCTTTATTACACATGGACGTGACCTTGAGGAGGTCGTAATGATTCTGAAGGTGTTCAAAGAATCGCTTCAATGATCCCATTCATTGTGCCAGCCGTCTGCGGGGAACATCAGCTCCTCCGGCTCTTGAATTTCAGACGGTGGAATGTCTTGCCCAAATCACATGTCTTGTTAGTGGTGAAGCTTCGATATTTTTGATTCCAAAACCAAGTTCAGCCCTGGCTGGTGTGGTTCAGTGGATTGAGTGCCAACCTGCGAACCAAAGGGTTGCTGGTTCGATTCCTAGTCAGGGCACATGCCTGGGTTGTGGGTCAGGTCCTCAGTAGGAAGCGTGAGAGAGGCAACCACACAGCGATGTTTCTCTCCCTTTCTCCCTCCCTTCTCCTCTCTAAAAATAAATAAATAAAAATCTTTAAACAAAACTAAACAAAAGCAAACTCATCCCATTGTATCATGTTGTCTCCCATTTTCCTATAATTTTTTTAAAGGTTTTATTTATTTATTTTTAGAGAGATGGGAAAGAAGGGAGAAAGAGAGGGAGAGAAACCTCAATGTGCAAGAGACACAAAGGTCAGTTGCTCCTCACACGCCACCAGCTGGGGACCCGGCCTGCAACCCAGGCCTGTGCCCCGCCCAGGGATCAAACTGGCGACCCTTCGGTTTGCAGGCCGGTGCCCAATCCACAGAAGCCGCACCAGCCAGGGCTTTCCTATGACTTTTTGTTGGGGTTTTTTCAAGAGCATTTCTTCATCATCTGCCTTGAGTTGGAATTATTTATGAGAATGCCTGTCCTACCCACTAGATTGTGAGATTCTGGGGTTCGCGTCAACCCTCCTCCGCTCCCACAATCCCTGGCAAGTGATTTACAAACACAGTCATACCTTGATACCCGTCGGCTTCAGAACTCAAAAACCCTGCACGCATCACATTTTGACAAGAAAAAGAAATGTGTCCGCACTCGCTGTAACTTGTGGGAGTCAAGCTGCTTCCCCGCAAGACACTTGTCGCTCGTTTGGTGCTCGGCGGTTTTGGCGCTCGGCGTGAGCTCATGGCCAGTACCGAGGTCCCCCTGTAGCAGGTACTCGGTCTGGGTTGAATGAGTTATCAGGCAGTGCATGCCCTGTTTTAACATGGCTCGACTGTTATTTTCTGTGTTACTGTCTTCCAATCTGGGTCTTCCTATGCTCAAGGATAGGAGTTGTGCCTTAGGCTTGGGCAAGTTTCTTAGACACCCTGTAACAGTGTTTTTCTTCCTCTTCTATAAAGTGGGGAATATAATGGTCCCCCTCAGCTCTTACCCCACAGAGTCTAGAACAGTATCGTGCCACTGTAGCTGCTTACTCAACGTTCCGTGAATAAAGCCCAGTGCACTGCAGTGCAGGGCAGGCAGACCTCGGGGAGAGTTCCGCAGCCTGCCCCGCGGCGCTCCCTGAAATGCCTCTGTGACTACAGCAGAGCGCACCTGCCGGGCGCCGCTGCACCGGTGAAATGACCGCCTGTTTTGTTTTGTTCACAGTGGAAAACCTCAACCACTGTGAGTTCGCCCTCCTTCGAGACTTCGTCATCAGGTGAGATGTGCCCCTGCCCCGGGGTCAGGAGGCCACGGGCTCAGATCCACTTCCTTGGTCTCCAGGTCTCCCGAGGGCTTTCTGCCCGAGGTCCAGCCCCATTCTGAAGCACAAGAGGCAGAAGAAGGAGCATTGGTTCTCTGCAGTCGGTCCCATTGGGCCCAGCGGTGGAAGTGACGTGTTAACCTTGGATGTGGGTCACCTCTTCCCCCTTCCACTCTAATCGAGTCCCTGTCTCTTGTCACCCATGTCCCTCAGGACCCACCTCCAGGACCTTAAGGAAGTGACGCACAACATCCACTACGAGACCTACCGGGCCAGGCGGCTCAATGACAACGGAGGCCTCCCTCCGGTGAGCGCGGACACAGAGGAGAGCCACGACAGTAACCCGTGACGACCCTCTCCCTATGCCATCGCACACGGCCACTTCACACACCCCCAATACCGCCACCACCCGCCATCTCCTTCCCACTCTGTCCCACAGGCCTGTCTGGTGTTTGTGGAGCATCTTGTCTACAGCGTGCGTGTACGTGAGAGAGAGTATGTGTGTGTGTGTGTGTGAGTGCGTGTTCAGGGGTGAGGAATTGTCACTGCCCTCCCCGGGAAGTCCCCTGTAAGTTTGGTTTCTCCATGGCTCTCCATTATCCGTCTCCTCTCCTTGTGTCCCAGAGCAGAGCCACGTGCCTCACTCAGGAGGTCTGGGGAGGTTTCATTTAGAAGTGAGGTGAGCCACAGGCAACTCTTCTCTATCTCGGAGCCTGCCCGCACACCGGGACTGCAGGGATCTCCCAAGGACAGGCTGCAGAGCCAGGCCTAGGAGGGGGCAAGGAGTTCAGACTTAACCTTCCCTGGTAGCCGGGGTGGTGGGGGGTAAGGCCGGGACTTCCTGGGAAAAGGGAGGTCAAGGACAGCAGAGAAGTGGGCCAAGCTGGGCCCCTGCAGGAAGAATTAGTCCCTGCCTAGAAGTGGAGACGAGAGCTCCACCCTTCGGTCTCGGTCACATTCACAGCGGAAGCTACTGCTGGTCCTGGTGGCAGCCTGCTGCCTCCCACACGCCACACTCACCTTGCTCCCACTCTCCTCTTCCTCCCCTCCCCTCGGTTCTTCATCTTGCCCCTCCCTCCCTTCTTTCACTCCCTTGTAGATTAATCCGCTTTAGCTCCATTTCCATATTTAGAATGTATGCCCAGTCTACTTCTGAAAATGACTTGAGGCCACCTTAAAATAAAATCACAGCCAAAAGCACGGGACAGTACAAACTAGGGTGACGAAAAGTCAGACAGGTAGTGAGGAAGGGGGAGTGTTTGTGCAGTCCTCGCTGAGACTGGCCCGGAGCTCGTGGGCAGCCCGGGCAGAAGTGTCTGGGTAAAGCATGCAGGTTGCTCAAGGGAGACACCCTTTTTAGGCATTAAGTTCTAGAAAAACTGAGTCTAAAGAAGTATCAAGAATAATGTGTAATATTTGTGTTTCTTGGTGGTTTGCCTTTCTCTTCACTAGGATTCTTCCTCCTAAAAGCTGGCTTCTCTGTTGCTGTCTTCTCGTAAACTTCTCTCCTTCTTCCCCCCTTCTGTTTTCTCTCCGTGTTGTGCTGAAGCTACTTGCATTTTCATCTGTCTGTCTTTCTCCACTGCTTTTCCCATTCCCCCTCCTGACATCTGTAGACATTCCCAGTGATACCCACAGTTGTACATTAGCCTTTTCTTGCCTTTCCCTCCAGCCCTGTATTTATTAACACATGTATATCTCATTTGTTTTACAAACAAGTTACTCTTTCTCCTTTAGTCAGTGAGGTGGCTAAAATTGGGGCTGGGGAAACAACATAGCCTTAGGCAAGGAAAAACAGCAAGGGGCACAGTTTACAGCGACCTCATACAACCTCCTGTCCCCCGTCCTGGTCCAACCCTCGGTGTTTTACAGGTCCTCTGCGAATCGCAGCATTTATAGTCCCTTTTCACTCAGGTGCTAGGAAAACACACAGACTTAAGACCAAGACTCAGTGCACCAGGTGAAAGAGGTGGGTGAGATCGCCAATGACCCCAAAACCTATGGTCTCAATCTTTCTTGGAGGCTCTTACCAACCCAACCCGCATCCTCCCTGGCCCACAAAGCTATTCCAGCATAGGCACTGTCAGGATGGACCAGAGGAGGGTCAGATTCCAGAGGTTGCTACATTTCAACAGAAGAGGGATTCCTGGCTTACACAGTGAGCACTCCTGTGTGGAGACGTGGGGCTGGACCCCGAGGCCTAGCGGGGCAGATCCAGGGGTGGGAGTGGTGGGCGCTGGAGAGGCTGAATAAAGTGATGCTTGCTGCCCCTAAATCATGATCTCAGCCTCCCCAGAGAAGCTGTTTCATATGTCTGGTGTCCACACCCTCAACCGTTCTCAACCCCCTGCAGGGAGAAGGCCTCCTGGGCTCTGTCCTTCCACCCGTGCCAGCCACCCCCTGCCCCACTGCTGAATGAAGGCCATTTCGAGCGCTGCTTCTCCCTCCATTCCTCTCAGCTGTTATTGCTGCAGGGCCATGACCCTTTAAGGGCCCACCTCCACATCCCATCTGGGCCCTCGGCAGGTGGGAGGGGCCAACTGCTTTAGGACAGCCGCCTCCTCCATTTCTCCCAACACTCCTCTCCTCCCAGTGGAATGGAGTTCTCGCCAGCACTGCCCTCCTCCATCGTCTGTGTCAGCTGGTCCTAGCCCACCTGCAGGGTGAAAGAACTCATCGAGAGCTTTTTCTGCCCTTGCAAACCCATACCCGCTACTGTGACCATCTCCAAGGGAAATGGCACTGCTCCCTGTCCATCTGCATGAGCTACTTTTGGCTTTCTTAAAAGGTCAAGAAAGCCACTGTTCTGCTTATCAGATTCATTGACATCAGCTGTGTGAGCCCAGATGCGGGACAAAGGTGTCTCCCTCATTGCTTAAAGCTTAGATGTAAGGATGGGTGACTTCAGGTATAGGGAAGCAAGGGCTAGGGTCGCTCCTTTAAAATCACCACTTTGGGCTGGCCCAGAGTGAGGACGCACCCCCTCTCTCCCCATAATGCAGCCTCTCAGAAAGAGTGGTTTTCCTGAAGAGACATTTCTGGAGTTGACTTCTTTATCTTCAATCTTTAAAAAAAAAAAAAGCACTGAACACAGATACAAAACTCCAGAACCCCCCACCAGATGTGAACCCTAGGAAGGAAAAAGCACCCATCTGTCTACTCAGCAATAAGAGGGATCTCTTCCCACCCACACCAACTATTCCTACCCCCCCACCCTGTAAATGTGAGTAATGAATACGCCTGGCCATAGATGGCCACCTGTAGGCTAGTGGAAAATACCCAGTGAAGGGCAAAGGCCCTCATCAGATGCATGAATGTTTGCGAATGTCGGCTGCCACTGCCCCACACACTGTCTAGAGACCCCCCCTGCCCACCCCTCCCCATCTCCACCTGGACACAACTTGCTCAGAGGCTGGTGACTTGTGGGCCATTTCTCTACAATCAAGTCCTGATGGAGTAAGAGGCCCAAGCCTAGGGGATGCAAGAACGACCCATTTCTTAAATATTATCAGTCCCAGCCAGCCTTTTGGTGACATTATGGTTTAATTTCCCAACTGAAAACAAGCCAATGACACTCAAACTGGTTGTGTAAATGTTGCTAGACTTTATGTGTTGTACAACTAAACATTGCTGTTTGAACAAACGACTACCTGGCCTGGTCTCAGTTGTGTCCCTCACTCCTTGGCCAAACAGACATGACCATCTCACCCACGTGTGGAGGGTGAGTCAGGGACCATCTTGGTAAGAAGTAGCCATGGAAATTAAAGGTAAAACATTTCGTGAGGTCAGCTCATCTTTAGTGGACATGAGGTTGGACTCCAGTCATAACTACCTGGGATTCTATATCCAAGATGAGTGATGAAGTTATTACACTTGATCTTGAGGGATGCTCTGCTCTGCATAGCCTGCTTTCTTCAACGAAAACAGTGTCTATTTTCATTCAGCTAATTTTCCTAGCTTTTCCCCTCATTTCTCTAGAAGGCACAAAATCCAAGTCTATCAAAGGAGTGAACCCATCTTGCCTCATTACTTCACAATGAATACTGTAAGAGTTAAGGATTTAAATTTAAAGCACTAGCTTGTTCCTTGTCTTTTTTTAACTTAAACCAATCCTGCCTCTCTTAGAGGTTCATACTCCCTTCTGTAGCCAGCAAACAACACGACTCTCACCTGTATATCATTTCTTTACATTTGAATGTGATGACCATACATGTAATTGTGTTTGGGGCCTCAATATTCTGTAGGGCCTGTGCAAGGTACAGATGAATGGCAAGGGGTCAAGACTGGAGGAAGACAAGTCAGGAGGCTCTGGGGGCCATTCAAGTGAAAGGATGAAGGGCCAGAGCTAGAGTGCAATGCCACACCCGGAAGGAGGAAAGTGAGGATCTGAGTGACAGAGCAGTTTTTCTTAGGAGAAAGCTAAGAGTCCTTCTAGTTCAATACCTTCATTTACAATGGGAATGAATGTTCAGAGAGCGTCATCATCATGCCTGAAGTTGCACACTTAAGTACCAAGGCATGATGGAGACTGGATCTCAGTGCTTCACACTGTTCCTATTGTACTTCATTTGTTCTAATTGTCTTGTACTTAAAAAATGTATTTCTTAAATCAGGATATTCTCTCTTATACCTGATGACGTGTCGGTTCACTTGGCAACTTTCTTTCTTAGTGGTACACTTAAAAATGGTGCATCTCACAACAGACAGCATCTTAAATTTGATGAAATACAGTAATCCAGGAGATGTTCCCTTGGAACCCGCTAGTGCTATTTGTGAAGTTTAAAGGAAATAAGAATATGGACAACATGTTAGTCTTCAAAGCAACTCACAATCATCCTTTGGAGGGGGCAGGGCAGGTGTGATGGATGATACAGGCTCTCTTCCCCTTGGAGCAGACTCCCCTTTGACTTCCTGACCCAGATCGTGCATCCTGTTCTGTACACCACCTTCTAAGAAACTGGCTCTGATTCCAGGCTTTCTCTGGAGGACGAAAGTTTTCACCTTAGGAGTAAGGAATTATTCTGGATCCTTTCTCCAAAGGTTGGGAGCTTCCTAACCAGAGCCAGGGAGGACTGAGGAAACTTCCTGCTTTTAGCTTTGATTCCTGACAGGACAAGTTCAAGTTCATGCTGATGATGCAGTGGCCAAGTGGGCATGTGAGGGTCGTGGAGGAGGCCATTCATCTATCACCCACCGCTCCGCGCCCTGAGGGCAGAAGCAATTCCCTGGACCCGCCCCCTTCCCGTTATGTGGTGTCTCAACTCTGACTTGGCCTGGTCCTAGGACCACCGCAGCTCCAGTGGTCAGCTGCCTCACCTACCCATTCCCCGCTCGCCCCACCCAGCGCCTTTGCGCCATAATCTCCGCCCCTATGCTTTACAGCCCCGCCCCACGACTTGGCGCAGGCCCCGCCCCTTCCCATCTAAGGGGCCGCTAGAGGGGCCCTGAGCAAGATGGCGGTGAACCAGAGCCACACCGAAAATCGCAGAGGTGCCATCATCCCTTACGGTGAAAGGTGCCTGAGGGCAAGCTCAGGGTGCGGTCAGAGGAGGGAGGAGACAGACTGGGTAGCGGGGGCGACTTGCGAACTCCCAGCGAATCAGGGACTTTCCCGCCTTTTCCAGGGCTTCACGCTTAGCTCCGCCTCTGACGTTAGCGTAAGTGCACCGCCTCGCGGGAGTTCCCGGTAGCGGAGGTGGCGCGAGCCGGAGCGGGTGGCTCTGCGCCGGTGGAGGCGGAGCGCGTCACCCGGGGTGTGTGGGAAGGTGGAGGGAGCGCGCCGCCTCCGGTGTGTGAGGACCGGGCGGGAGAGGAGCGCGCTGCGCAGAGGAAATGTGAGGGCGCCCCGGCGGCCGTGAGCAGTCGCGCCGCTACTGCGGGTGCTGTGCAGCTGCCGCCGGGCGGGAGCTCGCGACCTTTGTAGGGCGACAGCCGTGGCCGCGCTTTTCACTCGGGGGAACAAGGTCCTGGACTTCAGGAGGCTGAAGGGGGCTTGTGAGCTGAACATTCTAGAAAGATCCTGACCTGTCGGGGGCCTCGCCTCCCCTCAGAACTTCCCAGGGGCCCCTTTCTTCTTGGCCCGAGGCTGCCCTGACAGACCCCCGGGTGCCCAGGAAGAGTGGCGCTCCCGCAGCGTCGCAGGGCGCCTTGGGGTTGGCACCTATTGCTTTGAGGGTGCATCGCTGCGGCATCGCTGCTCGCCCCTCCGCTGGCCGCCATCAGGCTCAGTCTGGGGGAGAAGGTTTTCACCTCCCCACCTCGTGCCTCGACTCCCCCCTTAATCCCCCGGCCCCCCGTGTCTCGCAGAGTCCTGCTGGTGTCCCCGCGGAGCTCCTCTGAGTCGTGCCCCACTCTGCTCCGCTCGCCCTCGCTTTCCTGGGCGGTCGCCGGAACGCCAGGGCCGCCCTGAAAGCCAGCGCGGAGCTCGGGTGGGACTGAGCGCATCTAAGTCGCTTGGATTGCGTTTGTCGGGAAGATCCATTAAGACAGTTCCACATGCCGATGTCCAGATCTTTTTCGTATGCTTCCTTCTCCCGACGCGTTTCTTGACATATTTCCGCGCGTCCTCCTTTGCTCCCGAAGGAGCTCCTCGCTTCCCTCGGGTTTGCAGTCGGAGATGCAGTCGTTTGCGCAGCCTTCGCGCACCGGCCCAGAGCGCTTTGTCCCGTGTGCCTGTGACTTTGCCAGGAAGTGCTTCGGACCTGGGCTCTGGATGTCCCCTCACTCGGGCTTCCTGCCCGTTTGTCCCTCTGCTTTTCTGCCTGTGTGTCGGAGTCAGAAAATGAGGTATTAAAAAAAAATGATAACAAATCAATGTTATAATCCTTTGAGTGATCTTTTTGGGGTCCATATGCTCTTGAATACTTCATCATAGCCAAGCACTGTTCTGAGAGTTTTATACTTAAAACTGCTCCACCCACAGTGAGGCCCAGTAGTGTTGGCCCCGCTTCACAGGTGGGAAACGGAAACGAAGAAAAGTTATTCGCCCCACATTCTAAGGCCAGTGCCACGTGCGGGAGCTTTGATTTGGGGTTCAGCCTCGGTATTGGGCACTAACTGCGAGGAAAAGGACTGCTTCTCTGCTTTCTCATCAAAGAAGGCCTTGTCAGGACGGCGGATTTCAAGAACAGCCCTGAGAGGGAGAAGGTCGATTACATTTTGACTTCTGCCTTCCGCAGGGCACACTGGAGCGCTTCTCACAGCTGAACACTCCACGGTGTTTTGTGGAGGTGCTTTCCCCCTTCCAACAGAGGATCACAGATGTGATGGCTGCTGGTGAAGGTGGAAGACATTGAGGGTTTGTTTTAAAAACCCATATTCCAAAACTTGTGCAGTTAATTTCATGTGTATTTATTGGAGAAAAGTTAGAAAACATTTAAACCACCCCGGATCCCAACATCTAGTGCTGTTTACATTTTATGTATCCTTTCCCACTTTCTCCTATGGAAAAATACACATTCTCATTTATCGGTATATTGAGAATGCATTCCAGAATCAAAATCTGCGTTATTGTTTTCAATGGCTAATATTCTAGTGTGCATAAATCTTTGCTCAAGCCCCTATCTGGGATATTCTGGTTTTAATGTGTCATTGCTGTCAATTTTGCTTCAGTGAACGTTTGTGAGAATGTATCTTTGCACACCTGTCAGAACGTTCCTTTGGGATGTGTTCTTGAAAGTGGATTTGTGGGATCAGGTGATATAGACTTTAAAAAAAGATTTTAAAATATTTTTATAATATGAAAATTCTTGTCACAATATTAAAAACATATATATATATATATATATATATATATATATACACACACATTTGCAAAATCACCCTGTGGAATTATATCAATTTACATTCCTCTCAGTACTCTGAGTGACCATTTCACCACAACCTTGCCAACACATATCTCTGCCGGTCTGATGTGTGAATAATGAAAAATTATTGCTAGTGAAGTTATCTTGTTTCCCTATAGCTATTGGCTATTTATATGTCTTTGGGAAATTTTCTTGGTTCATAAATTTTCTCCATTTTTACTAAGTTCATTTGTTGATGTAGTAAAAAAGTAATAGAAAATTTATCTTCTTTACCATTAAGAAATAAAACTTGTATATATTTAAGGTGTACAACATGACAATTTGATATACATACACGCAGTGAAATGATTACTACAGTCAAGCTATTAGCATCTCATATAGTTACCATTTTTGCGTGATGAGTATACTTGAGCTCTATTCTCTTAGAATATTTTCAGTGTGCAGTACAGTATTACTGATGCAGTCATGACTGTACATGAGATCTCTAGATTTATTCATCCTATGTGACTGCAGATTTGAGCCTTTGACCAACCTCTCCCCATTCCCCGCTCCCCTGAGACCCCTTGTAATTACTGTTCTATTCTCTGCATCTGTGCATTTAACTCTTTCTTGTTTCTGTTTAGATTTCACATGTAAATGAGATCATACAATATATCTCTTTCTCTTCTGGGTTTATCCATGTTGTATGGATAAACAGGATAAACAACATGGATAAAGCATGTAACAGAATTGCCTTTCTCATGACTGAATAATATTTTATGATATATCTGTATATGTATATGTTTTTTCTTCATTCATGGACAGACATTTACATTGTTTCCAAAGCTTGGCTATTGTGAGTAATGCCACAGTGCACACAGGAATAAAGATATCATGTTTTTGTTTCCTTTGAAAATATGCCCAGAAGTGGGATTGCTGAACCATATTGTAGTTCTGTTTTTATTACATTGATTGATTTTCATATGTTGAACCATTCTTGCATTCCAGGAACAAATCCCACTTGGTTGTGGTATATAATCCTTTTAAAGTGCTGTTATATTCAGTTTACTAGTATTTTGTTGAGGATTTTTACATGAGGATTTTTCAGGGATATTGATCTGTAGTTTTTTTCTTCATTAAACATTTTCTCAGTCGTAAGCTTTTGATTAGAGTCTAGAGTTCTGGACTGACTTTTGGAGTTCCCTACTCTCCTCTTTTTGTGGACATCCTGTTTTTTCATAGTCTTAAAAAGCCTTTTTTTATCCACTCACCACCACTCTGGCTCCAGTTCTTATTACCTCACATCAGGACTATTTTAGGAACTCTTTTTTCTCCATCACCATTTGTCCCCTTGTACCCACTTCTATTTTAGGAACTCTTAAACTGGCCCCTGGATATACCACCACCTCCTTGATCATGTGACTGTCCTGCTCCAACAGCTGCAGCTCACACTCCTCCCCGTTTGTCAAATGGTATCTTCAAGCTCTGGTCTCAGCATGGCTTTCCAGCTGTGTCTCACTGTTTCTCCCAACCTTACTTCCACACAGCTCTGATGAATCCACATAGGTAGGCTGCTCCCAAGTGCGGTTTGCTTTCTACTGCATACCTCTGCTGATGCAGCTCCTGCCCCTCCATTAAAACTGCTTGGTTTCCATCAGGATTGTCCCCTATCTTCACCCCTGCCTACTGAAATATTGTTCACCCCTTAAGAATCAGTTCAGCCCTGGTTGGTGTAGCTCAGTGGATTGAGCATGAGCCTGTGAACCAGAGGATTGCGGTTTGATTCCCAGTCAGGGCACATGCCTGGGTTGCAGGCCAGTTCCCAGCAGGGGACGCACGAGAGGCAACCGTACATTGATACTTCTCTCCCTCTCTCCTTCCCTTCCCCTCTAAAGATAAATAAATAAAAAAATTTTAAAAAGAATCAACTCATATTTCAGCCTTTCTATAAAGTCTTTCCTAGTTACTCCAACCAAAAGTAATGTCTCCTTCCACTTAGTTGCCATGACATTTTTGTGTCATTTATGTGATGTGTGCCATATATTGCTTGTGTCATTACCTGTATTCATGTTTTAATTTGTTCATTCTTTCAATAAGTACTTAGCACCACCCACTTTGCTAGGACTAAAGTGGCAAAGAGGGCAGGCATTGCCCTTAATGATCACCAGGAAAGACATTGAACGAAACAACACATATGATAGTTACTAAGAAAGAAAAAACCCCAGTAGGACACTATGAGTGAGAGTAGGATGAATCCAAGTTTTTCAGGTTAAGAGTGAAGGGAGAACATGGGGGGCTGAGGGAGCAACATGCCAGAGGATTCTGGAGCATTCTGCACACCTTACCTTCTTTAACATTTACATTAGCACAGTACTTTTTACAATATTGATTTGAGAGAGAAAGAAACATCACTTTGTTGTTCTGCTAATTTATGCATTCATTGGTTGCTTCTTGTACGTGCCCTGCCTGGAGATTGAACCAGCAACCGTGGTGTGTCAGGACCATGCTCGAACCAACTCAGCTACCTGGCCAGGGCCATTGGCATAGTGCTTGATAGTTACTGCATAAGAAGTATAAGCATTAATGAATAAACAGTAAGAATACAAGTAGCTTTGATAAGAAACAGAATCCAGAGCTAAAGAGGGAGAAAAATAACTGTGAATTGTCGGAGAATAAAATCATTTAAATTCCTTGTATGTCAATAAAGGTGGTAGTAGTGGCAGCAGCTAGCATTTATTATTTGCTCTAGGCTGGGGACTGTGCTAAGAGGATTGTGTTTGTCGCTTTACGTAACGTTTACACTGTGTGCTGTCCGCCCTTTCTCTTCTGCAGTGTCTTGCAGCATTGTCACGATGTGGACCTCTCCTTCCCTCAGCCACCAGAGGGATCGAACCTCTTCAGTGGTACAAAGAGGGGAACGTTGCTTCTCACTTCATACCGGGTAATTTCTCTTCCTGTTTCATTCGTCTGCCTTAAAATGGAGAGTGGTTAACCTCTCAGTTTCAGGACGTTTTAAAACACCCGCGCTTTGAGATTTTCCGTGTTGAAGAACAATGGAAGAAAATGGGGGATGCTTCTCAGGCCAGGATGCTAAAGCAACCTTGGCCTCAGAATTGTTTGTATATGTCTCAATCCGTGGACAATTTGTGTTCCATCCCCAAAGTCTCTTTCCTCTCCCAGGTGATCTTCGTGACTTCACACTCGGTCAGCGATCCCCTGTTCTCTTTCATGATGCCATTCCATCTCATAAGCAACTGCACCGTTGAACAGCCCATCTTTGCCGCCAACTACATTAAGGGAACCATTCGGGCAGCCCCAGATGGTAAGTGTTTACACTCAGAAGTGTATTTTTGTCTGAAAACCTTCCAGAAGGTTTAAGATTCAGACTTGGCTCATGTCGGGGTTCGAACGAAAGAGAGCTGCCCGGCTTCTTTGGGCAGCGCTTCTCTCAGTGTTTGCAGAAGTGTTTGCAGAAGTCCTGCAGTTACCAGCCGAGCCGCCTGCTGCCTGCCGCCTGCCGCCTGCTGCTCAGTGAGAGTGTGCCGTTTCCTCCCCCAGGTGGCTGGGAGGGGCAGGCTACTTTTAAATTAGCCTTCAGGAGAGGAGGTGCCATCAAGTTTTTCCAGCTGCTGATGAATGCTGCCTCTGCTGGTGAGCAAAACGATAAAGCTCTTAAGCACTTTGGGGTTTTGAGACTTGTGGAATTGAAGGAGGACTGTTACCCAGTTAAGATGGTCTGGGCTCTGGTGGTTGCACATGTATTTGGCAGGCGTTTCCTGAGCCTACCTACTCTGTGCTGAGGACAGTACTATGTGCTGGGAACAGAGAGATTATTCATCCCCTCCCTGTCTGTAAGGAGCTGCCATCCAGAGGGAATTTACAATCAGACACCTGCCTGACTAGTTGTACCTGATAATCTTTTGTCCCTCGAAATGCCAGTCTCAGATATCACTGACTAGTCTCTTTCTCGTGGCAGGGAGCCCCCACTGCCTGAGCTTTCCTCCTGATCCGTCTTTTTGTCATCTCTTGCCCTGGCTTTGCTTTTGTTTCTCTTAGGGTTAGTCCCCATCTTCGATGAGAGGAGGGGAGAGGTCAAGCCTTAGAGTACCCTCTAGTGGATGTACCAGAGAACTCTTTCGAACTTTGAATACAAATAATTTTTATGATGTATTTTATTTAGTCCAGCCTCACGCCATACTCTTCACTCTCTCACCTTTCATACTTCAGTCCAACTGGACTTCTTTGTGCCTTGCTCCCTCCTCTCTGAGTCTTCACAATATTTGCTCTGTCTGGGCTGCCCTCTCCCTTTCTCCCTGGCCTCCCAACCCCCAACTTCAATCCAGTAAAGACGAACACAAGCTAGTAGAGACCGACAGATGCACCGTGGCGTCCTGTAACAGAGACACGGACGAAGTGCTGGGGCGCACAAAAGGGTGGAGTGAACTTTCTAGCTTCGAAAACTGGCTGGATCCTGATGCTGTAAACCATGGTCAAGTATATGAGACAGTTTAAGTCGAAGAGGAAATGAGTTTAATTTTAGGCCTAATAATACTAGCTAACATTTATTGAATGTTTACCATTTGCTACAGATTTCCAAGCCCTTTTAAAGAATTAAAGAGTCCCCATTTTGCCAAATTTATCTTTTCAGCTGCCCGAGGAACTCCATTTAGAAATATAAATTACTGGTTTGGCAGTCCAGAACTGTTTGTCATTACTGGGCAGGGGAGTGTGATGTGCAACCAAGAGCTGCCTTGTCCAGGTAAGGCGTGGCAGGGACGTTCTTCCTGGGAGGTGGGAAGTATACCAGGGGCTCAGATCTACCCACTGCCAGCTTGCCTCCAGCTCTGCTGCAGAGAGCATCGGAGGTTTGGGGATTGGAAAATGGTCGAGTCCGTGACTTCATTTCCAGACTGAAACCCAATGGCAAGGGTTTTCAGGCTTACTTTTAATTATAATATACAAATACGGAACGTGCTTGGGCAGCTCCCATTAGCGGAAACCTTTACCTCCTGCTTATAGCCTGAGCGGAAAACATGTGCTCTTTTTCACCCCTTCCTCCCCATTTCACACAAGCACAGCCATCAGGCGTGTACCGTGCCCTTCAGCCTCACTAGGGACTCCAGCCCTGGGCTTCATGGCCTGTGACGTTTAACAGTTGTGCCTGTCCCCAGCTGCTGAGTCATATTCCTGGGAGGTGACAGGTCATCAATTCTCAAATGCTGTCCACTGCGCACTGGTAGGCCACAAAGGATCTCCTCATAGGCTGCCCATGGACCCCCAAATGTGGGTCCTTTCTTGGATTCTTCTTGGACTACAACGTGCGTGTCCACTGGCTTTTAATTTTGTATACAATTGAAGGATGCTTATTTGTAACCTTAATAGTTACCTTAGTTTTTTAAGAGTTATTAAAATCTAATACTCAAGAATCTGAAAGTAAATGTTGAAATTCACATAGCAAAAACCAACCATTTCAAAATGTACAATTCAGTGGCATATAATCTATTCACAATGTGGTGCAACCATCAGCTCTGATTTCAAAGTGTTTTTATCACCCCATAAAACACCCCATTATTCCCCACTAAGTAATAATTCTCCACTTAGAAATAGTTCCCCATCATCCCGTCCCAGCATCTTTTGTTATACCCTAATCTGTTATTTCTCCCTATGGATTTCTTATTCCGAATAGATCATAAGAAGAGTCATACAGCACTTTGTTTTGTAGCTTTTGTCTGTGGCTTGTTCACTTAGCAGAATGTCTCCAAGGTTCATCCGAGCAGTAGCGTGTGTCAGTACTTCATTCTTTTCGTGGCTGAATGATATTTCATTCTCTGTATATATACCACAGTCTGCATTCATCCACTGATGGCCATTTGACTTATTTCCATCTTTTACTGTTATGAATACAAGCTGCTATAAAGTTTGTATGGAGGTTTCAGTGTGGGCATGTTTTCATTTCTCTTGGGCATCTATCTACGTAGGATTGGAATAACTGGGCCACCTCGTGACTCAATGTTTAACTTTTCGAGGAGCCACTGATCTGTTTTCCACGCACCTGCACCAATTTAACTTCCCACCAGCAGTACAAGTCCCTGTGTCTCCGTATCCTTGCCAACATTTATTTTCCTTTTTGTTTTTGTTGTTTATATTAGAGCCATCCTAGTGAGTGTGAGGTGGTACCTGGTTGTGTTTTTATTTTTATCCTCATGTGAGGATATGTGCATTGATTTGAGTGAGGGAAGGAGAGAGAGACAAAGAGAGAGATCTATTGGTTGCCTCTTGTATATGCCCCGACAGGGGATTAAACCTGCAACCTAGGTATATGCTAACCAGGAATGGAACCCATAACCTTTTCATGAACAGGATGACGCTCCAACCAATTGAGCTAGCCAGCCAGGGCTCTTTGTGGTTTTCATTTGCATGTCTTTAATGGCAAATGATGTTGAATATCTTTTCCTATGCTTGTTAGCCATTTGTATGTCTTCTTTGGAGGTACATCTCTCCACGTCCTTTGCCCATTTTTTCCTTGGGTAATTTATCTTTTTGTCATTGAGTTGTATGGGTTCTTTACATATTCTGGATGTGAATCCCTTCTCATATGTGCAATTTGCAAATATGTTTTCCCATTCAGTAGGTTGTCTTTCACATTCTTGATAACGTTCTTTGATGAACAAAAGTTATAAATTACAATTTTTAAAAAATGTTTTGATTTAAGAGAGAGAGATCAATCTGTTAGCCACTGATTTGTACATTCGTTGGTCGATTTTTATGTGTGTCCTGACCAGGGCTTGAACCCATAGCTTTGGCATGTCGGGACGATGCTCTAACCAACTGAGCTACCTAGTCAGGACATATGTAATTTCCTTCTTGTCTCTAGTCATTTTTTAAAATTTAAAGTCTATTTTTTCTTGATAGTATAGCTACCCTTGCTCTCTTTCGGTTACTATTTACATGTAGTATCTTTTTCCATTCTTTAAAAAAATTTTTTTGTTATCTTCACCTGAGGACATTTTTTCATTGCTTCTACAGAGAGAGGAAGTGGAGGGGGGAGATAGAGACAGAGGCAGAGACATCGCTGTGAGAAAGAAACAGCAATTGGTTACCTTCTGTGTGTGCCCTGATTGGGGATCAAACCTGCAACCTACGCATGTGCCCCAGCCGGGAATCGAACCTGCCACCTTTCAGTGTACAGGACAGTGCTCCAACCGACTGAGCCACACTGGCTAGGGTTCTTTTTTTTTTTTTCTTTAAGTAAAATGTTCTATTTCATGTTTTTTCATTCTTCTGCTTTCAATCTATTTGTGTCTTTGTATCTCAAGTAAGTCTCTTATACACCCTGGCTGATGTGGTTCAGTGGATTGAGTGCCAGTAGAGGCAATCAATGTACAATCAATGTTTCTTTCCCTTTCTTTCTCCCTCCTTTCCTTTCTCTCTAAAAATAAATAAATAAAATCCTAAAAAAATAAAGTAAGTTGCCCTGGCTGGTGTGGCTCAGTGGATTGAACGCCAGCCTACGAACTGAAGGGTCACGAGTTAGATTCCCAGTCAGGGCACATGCCTGGGTTGCAGGCCAGGTCCCTGGTTGTGGGTGCATGAGAGGCAACCACACATTGATGTTTCTTTTTTCTTTCCCTCTCTTTCTCCTTCCCTTCCCCTCTTCTTAAAAATAAATACATAAAATCTTTAAAAGTAAGTCTTCTGTACACAGCATAAAACCGAATGTTGAGTTTTTATTCTGCCAATCTCTGGTTGGAAGACGTCATCAAGAAGGCATGGCTGCCAGTTGTTCTGAAAGCCTCCCTTGTCTTGAAGTGTTTGTTCTGCTTGCCTTTCCTGCTCCAGGAAGCAGCTCCAGGGATTAAAGCCTTGACAGAGAAGTGAGGTATGGAGACTACCAGGATGTATACATGACTGAGTTCAGTTAGGACCTCTATATAAAAACTTCTGAGATTCGACGGGTGGGTGCGGAGATCTTACTGGTCTTGAGGCCACCCAAGACAACCTCATAAATAAGTTCCTTTATTGGTTAAAACTGCCACTTACCAATGTGGAGAGGTCTGCTTGTTTCTTTGCCCTCTCCGCACCCTCTATGTAGGGGCGCCCAGTTTGAGATCATACTGGGAAGCTCCCGAGGAGAATGCAGACATCTCTATCTTTAGATTGGAGAGTTTAATCCATTTGTATTTAAAGCAGTTACTGTAATGGGAGCCTCTCTGTCATTTCTTACATTCTGTATAGCTTTTTGTCCCTCATTTCTTGGCACTACTGTCTTCTTCTTTTGGGCTAAATTGATATTTTTATAGTAGGAAGTTTAAATTCCTTTCTTATTTCCTTTTGTATATATTTTATAGCTATTTTCTTTGTGGTTACCATGGAGGTTACATTTAACATCCTAAAGTTGTAATACTAATTTGAATTTTTCCCAACTTAACTTTAAAAACATACAAACACTCTGCACCTTTACAGTTCCTTCTTCATATATTTCAGCTAATGTCACAAAATTACATCTTTATACATTGTGTGCCACAAAATATAATCTAATAATTCTTTTTAAGGTACTACTCTCTTAAATTATGTAAAAAACAAAAAAATGGAGTTACGAACCATTGTTACAACAATGTTGGTTTTTATAATTGCCCAATGATTAACCTTTATTGAGATCTTAATTTCTTCATACAGCTTCAGATTACTGTTTAGTGTCCTTCCACTTCACCCTGCCAGACTCCCTTAAACATGTCTTGCAGGGCAAGTCAAGTGATAACGAACACCCTCAGCCTTTATTTATCTGGAAATGTCTTAATTTCTCTCCCACTCTTGAAGAAATTTGGCCAAATATAGCATTGCTTTTTGACATTTTTTTTCTGGCCTCTAAATAATTTCGGATGAGAAATCTACTGCTTATCTTTTTTTAAATTTTATTTATTTTTACTTCTAGAGAGAGGGGAAGGGAAGGAGAAAGAGAGGGAGAGAAACATCACTGTGTGGTTGTGTCTTGCATACCCCCTACTGGGGACCTGGCCCACAACCTGGGCATGTGCCCTGACTGGGAATCAAACCAGCAACCCTTTGGTTTGCAGGCCTGTGCTCAATCCACTGAGCTACAACAGCCAGGGCTATTGATTATCTTATTGAAGATCCCTTACATGTAATGATTCACATCACTCTTGCTGATTTCAAGATTCTTTGTCTTTGGCTTTTGTGAATTTGATTGTAATGTGTCTTGGTGTGGCTCTCTTTAAGTTATCTCTGGGAATTTGTTAAGATTCTTAGATGTTTATATTCATGTCTTTAATCAAATTGGGGAAGCTTTCAGCTATTATTTCTTCAAATATTCTTTCTACCCCTTTTTCTCTTTTTCTTAGACTTCCATGCAGTGTGTATGTTGCTCTCTGTTTGATGGTGGCCTACTGGTTCCTGAGGCTCTGTTCACTTTTCTTCAATCAATTTTCTTTCTCTTCCTCAATCTCAACAATTTCCTTTCTTAACAGTTCAATGATTCTTTCTTCTGCCTATTCAAATCTAAATTTCAATCCCTCTTCTTAATTTTTCATTTAGGTTTTTGTACTTTTTAAAAATATATATATTTTATTGATTATGCCATTACAGTTGTCCCATCCCCCTCTTCATTCCTCTCCACCCTGCACAGCCCTCCCCCACCATTTCCCCCCTTTAGTTTATGTCCATGTGTCACAAGTTCTTTAGATTCTGTGTTTCCCATACTATTCTTGCCCTCCCCCTGTCTATTTTCTACCTACCGTCTATGCTACTTATTCTCTGTACCTTCTCTCCTCTTCTCCTCCTCCCACTCCCCTGTTGCTAACCCTCCATTTCTATGGTTCTGCTCCTGATCTAGCTGTCCTCTTAGTTTGCTTTTGTTTTAACTGTGGTTGTTAATAACTGTGAGTTTGCTGTCCTTTCACTGTTCATATTTTTATCTTCTTTTTCTTAGATAAGTCCCTTTAACATTTCATGTAATAAGGGCTTGGTGATGATGAACTCCTTGAACTTGACCTTATCTGAGAAGCACTTTATCTGTCCTTCCATTCTAAATGAAAGCTTTGCTGGATAGAGCAGTCTTGGATGTAGGTCTTTGGATTTCATGATTTGGAATACTTCTTTTCAGCCTCTTCTTGCCTGTAAGGTCTCTTTTGAGAAATCCGCTGACAGTCTGATGGGAACTCCTTTGTAGGTGACTGTCCCCTTATCTCTTGCTGCTTCTAGAATTCTGTCCTTCATTTTAATCTTGGCTAATACAATTATGATGTGCCTTGGTGTGTTCCTTCTTGGGTCCAACTTCTTTGGGACTCTCTGAGCTTCCTGGATTTCCTGGAAGTCTATTTCCTTTGCCAGATTGGGGAAGTTCTCCTTTATTATTTGTTCAAATAAGTTTTCCACTTGTTGCTGTTCCTCTTCCCCTTCTAGTACCCCTATAATTCGGATGTTGGAGCGTTTAAAGATGTCCTGGAGGTTCCTAAGCCTCTCCTCATTTTTTTGAATTCTTGTTTCTTCATTCTTTTCTGTTTGGTCATTTTTTTCTTCCTTCTGGTCCACTTGATTGATTTGAGTCCCAGTTTCCTTTCCATCACTATTGGTTTCCTGTGCATTTCTCTTCATTCCACTTAGTTTAGCCTTCATTTGTTCATCTGATTTGTTCATCTAATTTGTTCAACTGGTTGACTAAAATCAACCAGTTCTGTGAGCATTCTGTTCACCATTGTTTTGAACTGTGCATCTGATAGGTTGGCTATCTCTTGGTTGCTTAGAAGTATTGGCTCTGGAGCTTTGAGCTGTTCTTCTTCTTGAGCCATAATGTTTTGGTCTGTTCGCTCCTGTTAGGTATGAGGGGCGGAGCCTTAGGTGTTCACCAGGGCAGGGTGACCCAGTCGCTGGGTTGTGACAATGTATGTGGGGGTGGGGTCAGAGAGGGGCAATGGTGTTTGTTCTGCTTTCTCTCAGATTTTAGTCCCCTCTGCTGCTTCCCACAAGCAAACTGGGCCCTTCTGGTGCTGGTTCCCAGATGTGTGGGCTTGTGCACCCTCCAGGCCCTGTGGGTCTCTCCAACGAACTCTGTGAGCCTGGGAGCTTCTCCCAGCACCTCGACCCCAAAAGTTTTTCCAATTGGTGCTTTTAGGCTTTAATTCCCGTCACTGGGGCCCTGGTTTGCATGTTCTATCTCACTGCTCGCTCCTTCACCTGGCTTATCTGAGTGTGAATATGTGACCACAGTTAGCCAGCTGCCTTATGCCCTCACTGGGTCTGCCATTGCCACCCCACACCTGGGATCTGCCAACTGCCGCCTGCATGCCTGGGTCAGTCCAGCCGCTTTTTCCTGCGCGACCCCCGTTCTGCCAGCCACTGACTCCGCCCCTCTTACCAGTCTGGCTGAATGGTTCATTGTTGTCGGACTTCCGTACAGTTCAATTTTCTGTGTTTTAGTTGCGTTTTTGTTACTAAAACTTTGTTGTCTTTAAACTTGGTTTGTGCAAGGAGGCACAATGTTTTCACCTATGCTTCCATCTTGACCAGAAGTTCCAGTTTTTGTACTTTTGATCCCCAGAATTTCTTTTTGGTTTCTTGTTAGGTTTTCTGTCTTTATCAATATTTCTATTTTGTTCACACATCATTTTCTTGACTTTCTCCACAGTTTCCTTCAGTTCTTTGAGCATCTTTAAGAAAGTTCTGTAATTTTTTTTCTGGCTAGCTTAAACATAAATATGGATTACAGCAAAATAACTTGGTAGTTGTTCATTCATCTGGCCCAGGTAAGTCACTTTGGGAATGTAGCCAGGGCCCATGTTTACTGTAATATTAATTGGAAATTTGGAAATAATGTGTTCTCCTACAACAGGGGAACTTAATAGCACATATCCATATAATAAAATATAGTCCAGCTTTTAATTTATGAAATGCATTAATAACAAATAATTTTTATGTAATGTCAAATAAGAAGAGCCAGATTTAAAAATTGTACAGTTGTTATAATCATGATTGCATGAACATATTAAAGATATTCTACAAAGAAATATATTAAAATATTTTTTGTATTTGATTGCATTATCGATGACTTTGTAAAATTCATCTTTCTCCATTTTCCAAAAACATATTCCTCATTAAGGATGTATGACTTTATTCATATTCAGAACAAACTTTTATTAAGTAAAGGGAGGCCTACCAGAGAGATCTGTATTATGTAAAACCTGTATCACCCTGGCTGGTATAGCTCAGTGGATTGAGCACAGGCCTGTGAACCAAAAGATCGCAGTTCAATTCCCCGTCAGGGCACATGCCTGGGTTGCAGGCCAGTTCCCAGCAGGGGATGCACCAGAAGCAACCATACATTGATATTTCTCTCCTTCTCTCCTTCCCTTCCTTTCTAAATATAAACAAATAAAATTAAAAAAAAAACCTGTATCTCTGTAAACAACTACAAGTAGTGCAGAGGTATAACTGTAGGGTTGTTTTCATGTTAATTTGAATCGCTCCACAACAGGGAATGATAAAGCCCCCAACCAGTGGTGGCTGAAGGATTTGACTTTACTGTTATTTAGCCCGACTCTCTTCCTGCGTTAGTTTGCTTCAGCATAACTTTTATCTTTTTACTCCTTCTCACTTGTTCCTTGTCCATTCTAAAAAATAAGTTACTGATTTTTTTCTTTTCTTCTCAGCATACCCAGTTGTTGTCTATGGGCCCCAACCTGTGAGATATGGAGCTCTACTGGGAGCATACGGAGCCCCAGCAGCAGGCTACGGAGGCCCACCAGCAGGATACGGAGGCCCAGCAGCAGGCTACGGAGGCCCACCAGAGAGATCTGAAGCCCCACCTATGGAGTACGGATCCCCACCACTTGGGTATGAACCTCTGCCTGTGGGATACGGAGCCCCACCACTTGGGTATGAACCTCTGCCTGTGGGATACGGAGCCCCACCACTTGGGTATGAACCTCTGCCTGTGGGATACGGAGCTCCACCGCCAGGATATGGAATCCCGCCTGCAGAATATGGAACCCCACCAGCTACAAATGAACCCCCATCTGCTAGATGGACAGCTGGGTCCCACAATTCCGCTGCTGCCCAGCCTGCTGGACGTGAGGCTTCTCTTCCTTCCACCTCATCTTCTCAGACCCATTTACCATCTTCTAAGATATAAACCCTGAAGACTCACCAAGCAAAGTAGCACCGTAAAACTGAAGTCAGGATAAGAAGGAGGACTCTCAGGTATGTGTTTAAAGGCCCTTCCCAAGTAGTTGCCTCACCCTTTGGAAGGGCAGTCACAGAGGGAAAGTGAAGCTTTACTTCCATGCCTAGACTTTAGAAGCAGAGTCCACTCTTGATTAGACAGGTAAAGAAGCAGAATTGTAGGGCTAATGCCTCAATAATTTGGTTGATGTTGGGCTCCATTTTTAAAAAGATTTTATTCATTTATTTTTAGAGAGATGGGGGAGGGAGAAAGAGAGGAAGAGAAACACTGATGTACAAGAGATACTTTGATTGGTTGCCTGTTGCGTGCCCCCAGCTGGGGACCTGGCCTGCAACCCAGGCCTGTGCCCTGGCTGGGAATTGAACTGGCGACCCTTTGCTTCACAGTCCGAAGCTCAATCCACTGAGCCACACCAGCCAGGGCAAAATGTATCTACTCTTGATTACTGGTGTGCTTCTCAAAATCTATTCCTGAGAAATGCTTGCATGTGTGCACAAAGATGCGTGTGGGAAGATTTCATTACATTCGTGGTTTCTAACAGCACAGAATTAAAAATAACCTGTATGTTTATTACCAGTAAATATTTAAAGAAACTATAGTACATCTATGCCACATGTGCAAAAACGTCTCAGTCTTATTGTTAAATGAGAAAAGCATGTTTGAGGGACGATGTGCTATAGAAATTTTCAGTCCCATCAGACTGAATGCCCCCTGTTATAACTCACATTTTGTAATGTCTCCTTTACTTCATCGGAATGAAATTTTCCGGCAATCGCATGTGATTCCATACCATTTCAACCAGAATTAATATAATACTATAAATTTGATGTAAAGAAGAAAAATGGAAAAGTGGTTTGTAGTAAAATTGTAAGTATTTTAATATCTCAACTCTCAGATTCCATCATACCAGAGACATGGGGAAGTGACCTAGTGGTGACAGGGTTGCCTCGGGGTGGGGAGCTGCATGGCTGGGGAAAAGGACAGAGAGGGAGACCTAGCTTCTTTCCCTATAAATTGTATTAAGCGCATGTGTACTATACGTTTCTGTCTTGAGCAATGAATAATTTTAAATCTGAGTTAATAGCATGCTAGGCTCTACCTAGCTTATAAATTGTGCAGCGGCTCCTTACAGCCTTCAGGAGAAAGTCCGAACTCCTGGTTTTCACGTGCACGTGGACCATGTTATGCTCCTTAGTGTTAGAGGCTCTGCACAATCTGGCCTGGTCAGCGACCCTCCAGCTGTGAGACCCGGCCAAGCAGAACTAAATGCAGACACCGAACTGCATGGCCTCTGCCTTCCTCCCCACTGCATTCAACTCATCCTTTGAAACAGCTCGGAAGTTCTTCTGAGAAGCTTGTTCCAAGCTCCCCTTCTAGGGTAATTGCCCTTCTTCCAGGCTCGTATTGTGCCCTCAGCGTGTTTCTGGCAAAATCCTTTGCCAGTCCTATTGGGATTGTTTGCGTACTTGATTCCCCCATAACCTGTGAGTTCCTTGAGAGCAGGGGCTGTGTCCCACTGCAGAGGCCTAGCAGCAGGCAAGGGATACAGTGGTGTCTAGTTAACATCTGGCAAGTGAGCGAAGACATAAGTAAGTTGTGATTCTTGACTTATTACACACACACAGCCACTGAGTTCTGGCTACAGCTGAAGACTAGAATGCGCAGAATTAGTTTTGTTTGACAAGCCGTTAGAGAGAATTAGAAATTAAAATTTCAGATTTTACAGAAAGCTGTCCCCTGTCTGGCTGGTTGAGTTGAGCGCTCCCGAAGGCAGTTATATTTCACCTCTTCCCACCTCACAGCCATGCTCGTATGTTGACACCGGCCTTAGCTGCCTCTGGCAAGGCGGCCTCATAGCACTCATCTGCTTTAAAGGCCTTTGAGTGAGCAAACAGTTAATACTATCCTTGGGTGCCAGGCGATGTGCTAAGGCACTTCATAAACATATCTCACTTTTTAAAATTTATTTATTTTTAGACATGGGAAGGGAGGGGGAGAGAGAGGGAGAGAAGCATCAGTGTGTGGTTGCCTGTCACACGCCCTCCACCAGAGACCTGGCCAACATCCCAGGCATGTGCCCTGACTGAGAATCAAACTGGTGACCCTTTGGTTCCCAGGCCGGTGCTCTATCCACTGACCCACACCAGCCAGGGCCATAAGCAATCTCACTTAATCCCTTACTTAATCCAGTGAAGTGAGCACTGTTAATAGCTTTATTTTACAGCTAAGCATACTGAAGCTTGGAGACCTTAGGTAGCCAGCACATTCACAACTATTGAGCTGTGGCGGCAGGACTTGAACCTGGGCTGGCCCCAGAGCCTGGGACTCTTAACCTCTGGCTGAGGAACCTGCTCCCCGGCACATTCTTTTGTCTCAGGAACCAAACAGTAGGAGGCGTTTCCAGTGCATGTAGTGGCCTGATCCTCTCCACACATCTGTGAGGTCCTGGTGAGTGCGAGTCCCTTTTCCTGCTGCAGACTTGATCCCTGGTGGTCAGAGGGCCTTGAAAATCGATGGTGTCAGAGGTGGTAGATCAGACAAGGGCTCAGATTTCTCCTGAGATCAGAAGATTGGTTCCAGGTCTTCTGCTGCAGTGTAACTGAAGTATGGGGGCTGCTAGGAGCCAGACACCAGCTGTTCTTGAGCCAGCGCAGCTGGCCCAGGAAAGAGAGAACCCTGAGATCTTTGAGAATGTCATGGCCTCGTGGCCACACCCCCTCATCACAGCCCCAGACCTGAGGGCTCCACTGCATTCATCGCCTTAGTGATGCCCCCTGAGTAGAGGGTGCTTACAAGGGATGGAGGGTGAAGACTTTTAGAAGGGCAGTAATTATGTGAATTGGCCGGCCCATTTATTAGCTATTTGTTTGTGCCGAGCACCCTGACAGGCACTTTACATGAAAAATTTAGCAAGGAGAGTGCTTGAACCCCAATCTCGTGATGAAGAAATGGGCTGAGAGGGAAGCAAATTGCCTAAGGCAAACAGCTGGCTAGTAAATGGCAGGGCAGGATCTGAACGTGGGTTTCCCTTCTCATTCACACACGCATTTACCGAGTGCCTTTTATGTGCTGTTTCCACGTGCTTGGGAGATCAGTGACCAAAACAGACAAAAATTCCCACTCTCGTGGCACTTACATTCTAGTAATACTAAGATGCAGTCAGTATACATTGTGTTATATGATATAACTGAGCGTATCATGTTCAAACTGCGGGAAAAGCAAAGACAGAGATGTTGGTAAAAGCTATAAAAAAGCATAGAACAAAGTAAGGAAGATTAGGAGTGTTTGGCAGAGGGAGCAGTTCGCAATAGCACCTCGGGGAGAAGGTAAGATTTGAGTGAAGATTTGAAGGCTAAAGTTGGTGACGAAACTAGCCATGCAGACCCGGAGAGAGTGGTCCAGGCGGAGGGAGCGGCTAGTGTAAAGGCAGCTTAATTCCAAGGTGCCTTCCCTTCCACCCAGTGCCTAAAAACACAGATGACTATGAGAAGACTCCTGTTCTCCAGGAAGGAAAACCTGTAAACAGATCGTAAGATGACCAGAGTGCGGAAGAATTGGTTTGAATAAAACAGCTTGGCGCTGGAGACTGATCTCTGGTCCTCGTCAGAGAACGGGCCTCCTTCCTGCCTACGTCCTGAGGATCAAAGAAGCTACAGTAACCAAAGAGTCTGGGGTCACCCTGGTTTTACACCCTCGATTAAAGTCTGCTTGTTGTTGCACACCTCTGCTGTGGCCTTGGTCTCTGTTTCTGAAGGCATCTGTGATATGCATGGCCTGGTGCTGGTCCCTCGGGACTGCCCAGTAGGGCAGCTTGGAAGTGCCCGGGCTCTCAGCTTCCTGGCTGGGCTCTGCCCTGTCCTGCTTCAATCATTCATTATCTGATTCCGAGAGAGAAGGATCTTTCCCGTGCTGAAGCCTCGGGCCGAAGTGCACCTTGATGGAGCACTTGCCTAAGTTGGGGAAGCCTGTTCTCCAACTTTCTATGGAGAAGAGGCCCCGAATAAACCACTGTGAGAGCGTGCGAGCCGACCCCTCTGCTGTGCTACCCGACACTGTGCTCTGGGTTTCATGAGGATCAGTTGGGGTCAAGTACTTACTGAGGCTGTTCCGTGCCAACCCTATGTTCTGAGGAATGTCGTCAAGCAGGTCACAGATCGCTCCAATGATAGACAATTTCATTACATTTTGCAAGTGTCTGCCCTGTCCTGGAACCCACTCACCCCCAAAATATAGGATGAGAACAGGTGGGTACTTCACCCTCTGTGTGGTTCCTCTGGGGAGTTGTGTGCTCCCTTCCTGTTGGCTTGCTCCGATGGTCTTTTCCTGGTCCTCAGCCCTGTTTGGGCCTTGGATAACATTTTGGGAATCATTTTGGAAATATTTATGCTCAAGCTTGGGCTTTTCCCTTGGACCCAATTCTGGCATTAGCTCTCTGGCTTTTCCCTGTGACCAATAAGAGAGAGGGACACTCCTAGTTTCTGACAGAAGTGCTATGACAGAGTCTGCACAGGGCTCAGGGAAGGATTCTGTCCACTTCTGGAGAAGGGGATGTCTGCGTTGTGTTTTTTTTTTAAGATTTTGTTTATTAATTTTTCAGCAGAGGGGAAGGGAAGGAGAAAAAGAGGGACAGAAACATCAATGTGTGGTTGCCTCTCACGCACCCCCAATGAGGGACCTGGCCTGCAACCCAGGCATGAGCCCTGACTGGGAATTGAACTGGCGGCCTTTTGGTTCGCAGGCCGGCACTCCTTCCACTGAGCCTCACCAGCCAGGGCTGAATTGTTTTGATGTAGAATTCCGTGTCCAGTGAAATCACCCTTCAAGAATGAAGAAGTACTTTATCAGGCAAAGAAATAATAAATAACGAGGGCATTTGTCACCAGCGGAGCTGCCCCTCAAGCACTTTTAAAAGTTCTTCAGAGAAAGAAATTGATATAATCAGAAGGTTGATCTCCATGAGGAAAGGAGGAGTATTAGAGGAGGAATAAAGGTAAGATGAAATCTTTTATTCTTTTTTTAAAATTTAATTTATTTATCCATACAAGAGAAGGGAAGGAGAGAGGGAGAGAAACATCAATATATGGTTGCTTCTTGTGCATCCCCTGCTGGGACCTGGCCTGCAACCCAGGCATGTGCCCTGATGGGGAATTGAACCGCGATCTTTTGGTTCGCAGGCCCGTGCTCAATCTGCTGAGCTACACCAGCCAGGACAAAATCTTTTATTCTTAGACTAACAGATGATAGTTTGTTCAAATAATTGCAGCAACAGTGTACTTAGTGGTATAGTTAATGGATAAGTGAAATAAATGACAGCAATTTTTTAAAGAGAATGGAAGAGTTGGAAATACTGTTAAGAGGTACTCGCTCTATTTGTGAAACAGCGTAACACTACTCGAAAGTGGACTTTGGGCCCAGCTGTAAATGTGTATCACAAACTCCAGGGCAACCACACAAAAAAGGAGAAAATAGTACAGATAAAGTAAGAGAGGAGAGAAAATACAATCATATAAAATGCTTAATTAAAACTAGAGAAGGCAGAAAAAGAGGGCAAAAAGAAAAAATATATGTATGAGCACAATGGATAGAAAACAGTAGAATAGCCCTGGCTGGGTGGCTCAGTTGGTTAAAGCACCAACAGCATTGCAGTCAGGACACATCCTAGTGTGTGGGTTCAATCCCCAGTGTGGGTGTGTACAGTAGACAGCTGACCAGTGTTTCTCTCTCTCCCTTCCCCTCTCACTAAAATCAATAAAAACATCTCCTTGGGTGAGGATTTTTAAAAACAATAAAACATATGCTAGCTATTGATCTAACCATATCAATAATCATTTTAAATACCAGTGGTCTAAATAGACAAATCAAAAGACAGACACTATGAGAGTGGACTAAAAAAGAAGAAAAGACCCAACCATATATTGTCCACAAGAAACCTACTTACATGTAAAGACACATATAGGTTAAGAGGAAAGCAATAGAAAAGAACTCGGGATATGAATTGGACAACAATGTGAATATACTTAATATCACGGGACTATACAGTTAAAAATGGTTAAGATGGTAAATGTTATATGTACTTTATCAGTTTTCTCAAAAGAGAAAAGGAATGAAAAAATATATTTTGCTAACAAATCAAAAAGAAATCTGAATAACTGTTAATTTTAAACAAAACTGATTTTTTAAAAATGAAGAACAGTAATGAGAAATGGGAGCATTATATAATGATAAAAAGAACGATTTTTAATGCATGCGAACCTAACAGAGATCCAGAACATGGGAGGCAAACACAGAGAACGACAAGGAGAAATGGATAAAGCCACTGTGCAGCTGGAGAATTCAACACTCCCCTCTCTCTGTAACTGACAGGCCCAGCGGGTAGATGTTCGGGGAGGTCATAGTGGAACTAAACAGCAGTAGCAAACTCTGTCTAACTGACATTTATAAAATACATCATCTGACAAGAGCAGAAGACTCATTCTTCTCAAGCTCATATAGACCATTCACTAAGGTAGACCAAATTGTGAAACGCAGGCTCTCTCACCTGGGGGCGATTGTCTAAGACAGCATTCTCCAGCATCTCCCAGACGGTGGCTGAGGGGCTGGAGCCGGCTCATAAGCCACTGCAGGGTCCTCGGGAAGAAACAAAGTCTGTATGTCCATTACATGACCCAGGGGTAGGCAAGACTTGTCCCGGGTCCCTAGGGATATAGTGCTGGGTCTCACAGCTGCCACAGGCACGTTTGTCCTTGGACGGATGCCAAAGAGTGGTTGACTGGGGGATACACGAGGGACATCTTATTTAGCCCTGCTGCTGACATCACCACACCTTTCAAATTCCTGCTCCTTACCCTGAATACAGAGGGCAGTCTCCCTTCTCGTGTTCACCCTTTTATGGATGGAAGTGGCCTGGAGAAGAGTGAGGCTGGCTCTGGTCCTGGAGACACCTGATGTTCAGGTAAGGAGGGCAGAAAAGTTTGCATAGCATTGAATGGGAGAAAAGGAAAACTACTGTGTTGTTTTGCATTATGCCAGGAGTCTGGAAAAAGAAGAGTGGAGCAGGAATCAATTCTGATCGCCAACAGTGGCGCCTAGAATATCCATTCCTAGCACCACTGAATTCTATCCTCCTTCATTCCTCCTCCCGGGCGTCCCAGGGGCTAGAAGGTGTGCGCTTCGGGACTGGATTCCCCTCATCTTTGTGTGTGTTGTTGCATCCTGGGCACGTGACCCAGGCACGTGCCCTGACTGGGAGTCGAACTGGGACCTTTCGCTTTGTGGGAAGAGGCCCAACCAACTGAGTTATGCTGGTCAGGGCTCTTTGCCCATTTAGGTTATTTCTTTTTATTATTGTTTTGAGAGTTCTTTATGTATTTCAAACAGAAGCCCCTTACCAGAAATACGAATTGCAAATATTTTCTATTGTGTGGGTTGTCTCTACTCTTTTCAATCTGGGAAAATTATAATTACAAATTTCCCTCTGATCACTACTTTCACTCCTGCATTTTGATATGTTGTTTTAATATTTTTTGGTATGTTGTCTATTGATTTCAGTTGATCTCAAAGTATTTTGTATGTGATGTATGATGAGTCGCTTCTGTCTCGTTGCTTTAAAAAATTCTCCCTTTGTCTTTTGAGAGTTTGAATATGATGTGTCTGGGAATGGATCTCACTGAGTTTATCCTTTTAGGAGCTCATTGACCTTCTTGGATGTGTAGATTTGTCACCAGCCCTGGGTGGTGTGGCTCAGTGGATTGAGCGCTGGCCTGTGAACAAAAGGGTTGCTGGTTTGATTCCCAGTAGGGGCACATGCCTGGGTTGTGGGCTGGGTCCCCAGTGGGGGGCGTGCGAGAGGCAACCACACATTGATGTTTCTCTCCCTCTCTTTCTCCCTCCCTTCCCCTCTAAAAATAAAAATTTTAAATATAAATATATATGTATATATATAGTATATACTTGACAAAAATATATATTTGCCATCAAATATGGAAGATTTGAGCCATTATTTTTCCGAATATCCTTTCTGCCCTTTCTTCTTTATCTGTATGTTGGTATGTTGCACGGTGTCCCATGAGCCTCTGAGCGTTTTTCTTCTTCTTTCTACTCCTCAGGTTAATCCCAGCAGGTCCATATTCAAGTTTGCTGGCTTCCATCAGGGAAGCCAGGTGCCTTGTCTCAGCTAAAGGAAGAGGGCTTAGGAAATAGGAACCCAAGGAAGGCAGTCAAGAACATACTATTCTTTTACTTGAAAAAGGAGGAACAGGAAATGTGTTCTAAAACACAGAGACCCTAGACTTTTCTTGGACACAGCTGGGGGATTTGAACCTCCTCGGCAGCCAGGTTAGGAGGGGAGACACTAGGGGAGAGGACAAGCTGCAGGGGCCCTGTGGGAGAAGGCAGCGCTGAAACCCCTCATCGGCACCCAGCCCCGGAGAACCACTGAATGAAGCGCTGTCAGGAAAGGTGGGATGAGCTGAAAGGTGTGTAAGACAACAGTGCAAACTTCCTTAGCTGATCGGGGCCTTGCACATGCAGCGGAGGGGCAGGTGAGAGTGGTGATCATGGCCAGCAAAGCCTGGAATGTCTGAATGCCGGGGGGGGGGGGGGGGGATGCGCAAGATGAAGGGCCTGGGACCATTGCTGCTCTGCCTCGCCGTGCTGTCCCCACTACCACCACCGTGTTGGGCAGAGCAGGGATGGCTCCCCGGCAAGAGGCAAGTCTGAACTGTAGTCTGCAGGTCACTTCGGAAAATGAGAGGCCAGAAGATGCCACACACCTTCCAGCTGGGGCAAGATGTAAAACCAGGACCCTGTGTACTGCCAGCGTCCGTAACTGAAGGCGCCCATGGCACCAGGTCCGTACTACACCTATGGGACTAAAGAACAGCTTTATTGATGACCCAGGGGAGCCAAGGCTACTCCCATGCAGTGTCAGCCTGCAAAGCCAACCACATGATGCGTGGAAGTTCCAGACAAGAGATCAGATCTCCACTCCTAATTTTGAGAAAAATTCCAAATCTTGATTTCAGAGTCAGTGAAAGGTCAGAGGCTAGAGTCCTGATGGGTACGAGTGCCCCTGCCTTGGGGGCTCAGGAGGCTGGCCGAGTTGTTCAGCAACATCTGTGCAGCCGTGCAGATGAGGTAAGAGGGCAGGAAGGCCACAGGAAAGTGCCCAAGACACGTTTCCAAGAGAGTTCATACCTGGGCAGAACATGGAACCTGGCCCTGAGATTGCACTTTGGGTCTGACGGGGTCGCTTGCCAAGCAGGCCTGGGTAGCAGGGAACCCTGCCTACTGGCCCTCGGCAAGCCAAGGCTCCATGGTCAGGTTCAGTGGTGCTGCTGCAGCCTATCACACGTCTCGGCTCCTCACAGCTGGGGTACCTCCAGCTTCCTCACAGGATACAGGTACCACATCACCACCCCTGAAGGATTGATGGTCACTGTGAAAGTGGTCTCAGCCTGGAGGCCGCTGATGACACTACCAGTGTAGACGTCCTGGGCCTGCAGCGGGGAGGGACATAAACAATGCCACCATATGAGTGGCCATGCAGAGGGTCCTCAGAGGACGTAGAAGGCTGGACTTCGGCCTGTCTGTGCTGGGCCTCCAGTGTGCCCTACACAAGTGGGAGCCCTGAGTCTCCCATTGTTACTTCCCCACTGGCACAGCCACCAGATGCCCAAACACAGGCAGTGCTGACAGCCCAGCCCCCAGACAATCCGAGTAACGTGCCGGCAAGGACTGGCCAGTGAGGGGAGGAGCGTGGCCTCAGCGGGGAATGGAACTCGTTTATACCCAGGAGTTCTGCTTGCATAGCTGGAAGGTACCGGTGCAGAGGACGGCACCAGCCACGGCCCTCAGTGCCTGCTGCTGCCCCATGGGCACCTGACACAGAACCCAAGGCCCATGGCTTAGAGGAGGCCATGCGTGAGTGGGGACCACCCCCAGCAATGCTCTCCCAGGGAAACAAAAGGCACTTGCTGCCGGCAGAGCACTCACCTCGTACGAGCTGGAGCTGCTGAAGTTGAGCTGGGCCAGGGAGGAGTGGAAGCGATAAGGCATATCCACCCTGCGGCTGAAGAAGACTAAGGCGTAGGCATCACCGGCCAGGGGCCGCAGGAACACTTCGATGGAGGATTTGTTCTGCGCACAGAAGGTGGCTGCTGGCTGGGGTCCCTGCTTAGGTGGGCCCTGAAGTCCCCTTCCTGCCTCCCACCCCCAGCCCACAGTTTTGTCATGCAAAAACTTGGGGAGGATACCACAGCCCTCCAGCACCCCAACTTCTCTCAGTCTACCTTCCTTCCTTCCCTGACTCAGCATATGCTCCCCTACACTTAGTCGGTGCCAGGACACACAGACAATGCTGCACGAGGTCCTGCTTCAGAGAGCTCTGCGTATGATCGGAGGGGACAGACAGGGACAGCTGCTGCACTGGAGTGGAGGGCACTGGCCAGTGGGGCTGATCACTCTGCCCTGGGCAGCCAGGAGCATGAACCCCCAGCCCCCAGAAGTCCCTGGCCTGGCAGGCATTAGTTACCTCTGTGGGCCTCACCAGTTCCAAAGGTGTGTGCTATAGGTGTGTAGAGTTCTTTTTACTAGAGATGAAAGGGTTTGTGTAAAGAGCACACACTTTGGGGTGACACTGTTGGAATCAAGTACAATTGCTCTGTTTACCAATTGTGGGGCCTTGAGCTGAAGTTACTTGGACTTCATTTGTAAAACAGGGAAGGAGATCTACCTTCTGAGAAAACAGATCTAGAATGCCCAGCACACAGCGGGTGGTCAGTAAACAGTAGATGCCATGGTGAGTAAGGGTCGTGTTCCTTGGATCAAACAACTAAATGCTGCAGGGAAGCCCCTGCACAGTTCTCTGCCAGGCAACTTCCTAGTGGGGAGGCACACTGTTCCCAGTGCACAGCACGGACACGTCTCCCTCCCCGTCTCCCATGCGCTCTCGGCCTGCTCTCAGCCAGGGAAGTGCGGACAGTTGGAGTAGTACCCAGCAGAGCCTTCAACTCAACAGCCGTGTTTTCAGGGAAGTCTAGCCCCCCAGCCTCCCTCCCTTTTCCCCACACCCCAGTACCTTGAGAATCCTGCGTCCCTGGATGCCTAAGGGATCCTGGTTGATTTTGATCATGAGTGGATTCTGCAGAATGTCCATGTTCTGGGCAGAGATGGTGCGCAGGTCTGTGGACATGAAGAGGGGAGCTGCCAGCACTGTCCACAGGGCCATCTGGGCCCGGGCTTGCTCGAAGCTGAGGCCGAAGTTCCCAATGAGCAGCTAGGGGCAGAGGAGAGGAGCAGTCAGCCCTTCTCTCTTTAGGGAGGAGGTCACGGGGAGCCAAGCTTATAGCTGAGGCAAGAGAAGAAGATGGTGATGGGAAGGATGGCCACGCGTGGGAGCCTGGTTTGGCAAACACCATTCCCCAGCAGTGTGGCCTCGGGATAAGTGGAGTCACTTTGCATCTGAGCCTCAGCTCTCTTTATTCACCCCCAAATAGGGGGACTTGTCATGTCATAGATTATTCAAGGTGTTGCTGAAGGCATTTGTAAGCCTAAACATGCAAGTCCAGAAACCCAGGGAGGTAGGATAGGAAACCGGGACCAGAGCCAGACAGAGTCCCTGCTTCTGCCAGTGACCACCCAGCTGCCCTACCCACAGCTGAGCCGGGGTAACGAACCCAGACGGGACAGAAATGATTACTGCTCACACCGCTGTTACCTACTAGGTGACACCAGTTTAAGCACTGTGCATGTGCCCAGCATTTGAAAGGGTCGTCCACTTCATACTCAAAACCACCCTCTATAAGGGAACTAGTGTTACTGTTCCCTGACAAAACAGGCACACAGAACATTAAGTCACTTTCCCAAACTGCATGGCAGAGCAGGAGCTAGTGTTCTGACGCGGGTCAATTCCTGTTTCTCCAGATGCCCCACCATCTAGCGGAGTATTTGTACTGGTAGTAAACACTTGACTAAATGAAGAGATAGCAATAAAACTATAAGACAAATTGCAAAAATATTTAAGTCACCAGGGCTATGACTGGGGTGGGTACAAGGGGCCAGTTCTGCCTGTGGACGCCCTGCAGGCACAAAACTGTACCAGGCACTGAAAGAAGAGTCAAGGGCTGGGTGAGGGCAGGCTAGGGAGGGGCCGGCAAGAAAGCGTGGAACATTCACGTTCTTCACCCTGCAGAGGAAGAACGTCTCACACAAGAGTCACTACAGACCAAGTTCTCAAGTTTCAAGCATCAGAAATGCCTGGGAAGATTGTCAACAATGGGCATTCCCAGGCCCCCCTCAACATTCTGATCCAAATGGGGGGGGGCCTGGGAACAGAATTGTAAATAAACTCTGAAGTAAGTCAAATGCAGCTGGTTCGAGGACACAGTTCAAAGACACTGATCTAGAACTTGGCAGTGAGTGACCTGTTAGAGGGCACAGGGCAGTGGGGAGCAGGTCCACCATGGGTGGTGGGCCTCGGGACATCCCCCTCCATGTTGGTGTACCATGTCTGGGTCGTTCCAGTGCCCAGGGCCTGCCACCGGCTGCAGTATGTCCTGATTGTCCACAAACCAGTCCAGGATGGACAGCACGCTACTCCAGGAGTCCTGGATGTCGTCATAGTTGCGCCAGAGGTTGCAGGTGTCTGCCAGCAGGCTGTAGTTCACCTGGATGTCAGAGGAGGTGGAGTCCAGCACCAGAGTCACGCCCTGCTGCCTAGAGGCCTACACAGGGGCTGGGGAGGCTCAGCAGGAGACGGAGGTGGGGAAGGGGAGAGGACAGGCCCGAGCTTGTTCAGGGTAAGGAAGGCCTTGGAGGCTGGGGCCTCCTGCTCTGGGGCTGCCCAGGCCTCCACTCCATGCGTGCCGGTGCCAGAAGCCTACCCGGCCCTCCCCTGCCAGCTGGGGTCAAGCCCAGGAAACTGACCCAAGCTGGTGTACCGACACCATCCCTGCTGCATACGCACCCCGTGCCCTCACAGTGAGAGTCCCGCCCGCTGCCCGCATTCCGCCCCAGGTCTGCAAGTCTGATCCCATCCTTTCTAGTGTCCCAGGCGCTGAGGGGCCCCTGGTGAGGTGCCCACAAGGCCCTTCAGAGGCACGGCCCCACCTGCCTGTCCTCAGCGGCCTTCTGGATCTCCTAGCCCACTCAGGACAACCCAGATTCCGACCACTTGATGGCAGCTGTGGGTCGGCAGGTCACACATGGTTCCCATGCCTTCAGCCCACATAAGTGCCTCCTCTAAGACCCTAGGCTGGCTGAGGCCCCTCGGGGGCACTTAGGACCCTTTCTCCAGACCTACAAATCAGCCAAGTGGGCAACTACGGTGAGAGCAGCCCCGACTCTGCACAGGAGGTGAAGAGGCCAGGTGTGGAAAACACTGCCAGGAGGGTGCACGGAATGGCTTACCTTGGGGGGGAGGCCCCCTTCATAGGCTGGCCAGCTGCAGGAGAAGGCGATGGGGCGACCTGTGGCATTCAGGGCCGCAGCCATCATGGGGTACCCTGGAGGAGTATAACACCCACGTTTCAGGACTGAGGAGATGCAGGGGGCAGTCTGGGGCCTCAGCCCAGACCTTTCCCCACCAAATGTGAGGAAACAGGCTCAACAGAGGTGCTTCCCCCTGTACCCAAAGTTGCAAAGACTTCCTAGGTGGGGCATGGTGTCAACCCATCTTTTGGGGGCCTGGGAGCCAAGATCGCCCAGCCCCTTGGTGAGGGAAATTAGGAAACAGACAGACCATACAGACATATAAGCTCAGGCAAGTGGGCACTGGTAGGCCTCCCATGGCCACCCCTCCCTGTCTCCCTTATGGCCCCCAGACAGCTGCGGGACTCACCTTTGGCCTGTTCCTCTGGGGTCGAGAAGCAGCCATCCAGCTTCAGCATGTCCACCTTCCACTTGGCAAAAGTTTGAGCATCCTGAACCACCTTGTCTAGCGTGGTGCCTGGGTAACCCATGCAGGTGAAGTTGCCCAGGTCCTCATAGATACCCAGCTGCAGACCCAGGGAGTGAGCCTGCGGGGACAGCCAAGGACACTGGAGGTTCAGGCACACCTGACCAGACCCCAGTGAAACCTTCGCCGGTGCCCCAGTGCCCAAAGAAAAGGGTCCACACTTTTGGCCAGCCTCTGCAGACTACAGTCTGTCCCCTCCCTCCAACACACACACCTCCCGTGGGTTGTTTCGTGCCCCCAGGCCTTTGCTTCTTCTGCCATCCCCTCTGCCTTGCATGCCATCTTTGTGGTGTCAGCTCAAGAATTAACTCCTCTTCCAGAGAACTTCCTGAAATCCCTTGCTGGCTCTTACCCGCCACTGTGAGCCATACCCAGCTGTATCTTTATATTTCCCCCTCAGACTGAGTTCTCAAGCAGGGATTGTGGAAAGGGGGCCCTACATGGGGTGGGGTGGAAAGAGTCACCTGGCCCCCAGGCTGAGGGGCAGGGCTGGGGCAGAGCTCACATAGTCAGCCAGGAAGGCAATGCCACTGGGGAAGCGCTTGGGATCGGGCACCAGGTCGCCGTTGGCGTCACGCCCACCAATCCAGCAGTCGTCGATGTTAAGGTACGTGTAGCCCAGGTCCCGCCACCCGTCCTGTGCCAGCCGGTCGGCCATCTCCATGAAAAGCTGCTCACTGGAGAGAGGGGCAGGGGACGGAGCAGCTTAGTGGCCTAACTGTTCACCTTTCTCAGAGCTTCTCAGGTGCTCTGAGTGTGAGTCCAGGACTCTGGCTCGGCTGTCACCTGAAGACTAAGCCAGGTAACAACTATAAATGACAATAGGGATTGTGTTATGAGTCCTAAGCCATGTGAAGTTGAAAGGAATGGTCTGGCCACCTGGTCTAGGGGCAGGACTGAGCCAGGGGAAGCACCATGAGGTCTGGCCCTGCCTTACAATGACCTTTGAATTATCTCAGGGGTGGGCCCACTAGAAGGTACCCACAGCCTACAAGGCCTCACAGAGGCCCCAAGCAGGTCAGGCGTCCCAAAAGTGACCTATGACTGCAGTCTCTCTGGGATGAGAGGCAGGGCACTCTGGTCCTCTCCTCCCTGCCCCCACTCTGCAGGGTCTTGGGCAAAGCTTGCCAAGTGGTGTGGACCTTATTCACCTGATGCAGTTCTTTGGGTCCTCATCACAGTCAACGTTGCAGCGGAAGCGTTCCCAGGCCAGCCAGCCCATGGGTGGCTTCCGCAGGAGCCCGTTCTCCAGCACCAGCACCTGGTCCACCAGGGCCAGCAAGAGCACTGTAGGAGGGTCGGGGGGTGAGTACGAGTGACTCCCGTGGCCCCTGCCCTCACCGTCTACCTCCACACGCTGCTCAGCCCTGCAGAAGCTCCCAGCCTGCACACAAGAGGAACAATTCCTAGGCTTGGGGTGGAACTGGCCCTTCCTGCAACCCCTGGCTCCTGCATGCAGCAAGCAGGCTGATGGTGCCTGGACTAGGCAGTGTGTTTGAAGCCTGGGTCCTTACTTGCGGTTGTAGCCACAACAGTGTTAGAATTAGCAAAAACTAATGGCTGAGGTGATATCCTTTCTATACCCCGACCAGCTCCATCACACAGAACCTGACACTACACTGCAGCCAGATTCCAGGTCTCCTGAGTCTCATCCAGGATGTTTGTTCTCCATCACAGATCCCCAAGAAGCCTTAGAAGAGCTAAAGAGGCCAGGCGGGACCCCGCAGGCCGCATGCAGTCAGCTCTCCTGGGCGAGCCCTTTCCCTCTCGGGCCTCAGTTTCCTAATCTGTAAGATGGAGTTAATGTGCTGACTTCACAGGACTGTTCTCAGCACATGTTGTTATCACCTAAGAAGGAAGGGCCTCTGCACTGTGGGGGAGAGGGGATGAGGAAGAAAGAGACCCCTTCGGAGGGGAACTGATTCCTAAGTGGGGGGCATTTCCCTCTTTTCCACGCCCAGCTCCAAGAATAAGAGGAACCTGTCTCCCCACATCTCCACAGCACGGGAGGAGGCCCAGACACCAGAGGACTGGACTCCCCCCAGGTAGCCCCATTCCCAAGTGATCACCTACCCTCCCAAGGCCACACCCTTCCACGTAGGTTACCTGTCTTCCACAACATTGCGCTGGACTCAACGTCTCAGGACCTGACCAGATCTGCTCTGCTTTTACCAGCTGTATATGTTGGGTGTTGGAGGCTAAGAAACGTTAGAAAAGCACTGGAGTCACTACTGCCTGGCAGCCCTGCCACCTTCAACCCTGGGCATGGATCCCCAAGCCGCTCTCACTGTCCCCACTCCCTCCCCGGCCATCACTTCCCTTCTTCCTTCAAAAATACTAAACAAGGTTTCTTGGACTTTAGACCTTACCACTTTTGCAGTGCTGGGCGCCCCGAGAGTCAAGGGCAGCCCCCCCACCCCCCACCCCCCGCTCCGGGCCGGGGCCAAAGACAGGCAGGCAGCACTGGCTCCAGGACGTTCAGGAAGAGAGGCTCTAGGCCAAGACCAGGCTCCGGACTCTTGCCGGGTCCGACCCTCTGGCCGCCAAAGGCAGCAGGTCCAAGTCGCGGAAGGCCCACCCCAACTCCACAGCACCCCTTCCCCTCTCACCTGCCGACTCCCTCCGACCCGTAGCTGCTTCTGCTTCCAGAGCCGAGAACCGCTGCAATCACCACATTCTCCTACCGAGTTCCAGAGGGGCGGGCCTGACGGCGGTCAACCTTTCTGGTTAGAGCCTATCAGGATCCCCATAGCAACGTCGTGCCCCGCCCTCTATGCGCGGCACGCTCCCCGAACCTCCCAAAGCCCCACCCCCTTCGGGCTCGGGGAGCGGCGAGTCGAGAGACTAGTGGTGCTGCTTGCCCTGTCTAGCCTAGGTCCCCTGAGGCTAGACATTTCTCATCTTCGGGTCCCAGTGTACAAGGTCAGTGCCTGGCACTCTGTAGGCGCTTGAGTACCTGCTAAGGACTTGGTTAAGAAGAAATGAGAGGGTGCCCCGAAATGTGGTCCATAGTAAACCTCTCAAAACTAGTAGCAGAAGACGAATAGGCCTGGGAAAAGAATTGGGGCGGGGGAAGCAAACCAGGCGCAGCTCTTGCAAAGCCAGGATGCTCTATTTTCCTATCGGACACCCGTTATGCTAGCCCAGGCACTCTGCATATTTCTTCCCAGTTTCATTGATCAAAACTTAATTGACCAACTACTAGGGCCAAACACTTTATTTCTGGCACTTTCACTCAGATGGGCACAGGCATCTCAAACATAACTGGCCCAAAAATCAAACACCTGCTCCCTTCCATAGCTCAGGTAATGGCACCTGTCCTTCTAGGTGCTCAGGTCAAAACCTGGGAGTCCTCCTTGCCTCCTGTTCCCCTCACTCTCCACATTCAGCCCCTTCACAAACCCTGTGTTCTCTGCCTTGAGAACGAATTCTGAATCTGGACACCTCACTGCTTTCCCGACCCCATCACATTTAGCTTAGATAGTGCGGCAGCTTACATTTCACCCACATTTATTCTCTCCTGGACTGGTCCTTTAAAACACAGCTCACTCAAGACCCACCCACAAGTTCTGTCCTCACCTCCTACTGCTCCCCCACCCTGCCCCACCCTAGCCCACACTCGCCTCCTTGCAGTTCCTCAAATACAACAGGCCTCAAAAACACTGCATTAGCTGCTCCCCCTGCCTGGAATGCTCTTCCTTCAAGTATTTATCAGATGTCACCTTCTCAGTGAAGCCTACCCTGATGATTCTATTTAAAATTTATCCTCCTCACTCCCACAATTCCCAATCTCCTGCACCCTGTTCTGTATTTTCCACGCCACGTATTGCCTTCTTCTAACACAATTATTGTGGCTTATATTATTAATTGAATAAAATTTAGTGAGGAAGACAGATAATGCACAGGAAATAAACACATGAGCAGAGGCAAGTTTTCTATAGTGGCTAGTGCTATAATGAAATACATTCCGGGGAAGGGATAGACTTGAGGGTGGGTGAAGGGGTTTAGAACAGGCCTCCCTAAGATGTGCTCACGGCATGTCGATTATTTTGAGCCGAAGGCGATGGGGACCCTGTGGGCTCAGAAGAAACTTCTGTGTCCTCTAAAACTACCTTGCCCTTAATAAGAGTTATTACCAGAGATGCTTTATGGCCTCTTTCTATGGCAGGATATACATCAAATTACCAGACATCTGCTCTTCCTATCGATTTGCAGATTCTTACTGATCTCCTCCCCTTTGACATTCGTTAGCTCAGGGTGTCATACATTCTTTATTTTTACCTATGTACGTGGGCTCTCAGACTCTCTATGTGGGGTCCTGTACCTATGAATACAATTAAATTTGGTTGTTTTCTCTTGATCTTTCTCATGTTGATTTAATTATTTGAACAGCAGAAAGAAGCTAGAATGGTAGAGGAACCTTTCTCCTTCCCCCACATAGGCTTCTTTACGTGTATGGTCAGGGAGGGGATATTTGAGCTGAGACCTAATTGGTGTGAAGGAGCCCTGACGAGTTAGAGCCGAGAGGGAGGGGTGAGAAGGAAGAGCATCTGGGGCTGCAGGAACTGCAAGGGGAAAGGCTCTGAGGTGGGAGCCAACAAGTTCCTGGACAGAGGGTTTGAGCACACCGGCCTCCAGCGCTGTGGGGAAACCTTCTGCCTCCTGCATTTGAGGGGCAGGGGAAGGGGCGGGGGAGGTAGCAAACACTGTACTTGGAGACTGATTCTGTTTTTTCCAACAATTTATTTAGAACTGGGGGGACAGATCTGTGGCCTCCCGACCCCCTCTCTGCCCCCAGGTGCTGGGCCCAGGACCAAGGTGAGGCTACTCCTCTAGCAAACTTCTGTGATCAATTTATTCAGGTTCATTGTGTGAATTATAATTTCACAAATCAATATCATATCTCTTAATAAACCAAATAAAGGAATAACATAATCCAAATGACAGAGTAATCACGCTGGGAAAGTGAAGGAATAATGTCCAAATTTGATATGAGGTGTGCCTCTTTATATGAGGACACACTCTGAAGAGTCAGCTGTGACCAATCAAAAAGCTGATGTCCAACTGCCGGTACAAAAGTAAAAGTCCCCTTGTGCCACAGCACTGTTGCTAGGGAACCAAGAGGCCAGTATTAGTGCAGAGGGTTGAGCTGCTCTGAGAATTATCACTTCTGAGACCGCTGGGAAGTTTAACACCACAACCCACCGAAGAGTCGCCCGGGCCACTTGGAGGAGCAAACGTCTCAAGGGTCTTGGGAGAGTTCTTAAGTTATGGAAGAGTCACCTTGCCCAAACTGAAACTCTCAAATATTCATCACACTCTCAGTATACACAGTAAATGCCCTTTTGTCCTAGTCAGCGGGGCTGCCAACCGCTTATGAATGACAACAGATTAGAATGATGACATCCCGGCACAACTGACTTCAAACTTCTATCGAAGCAACTTTTTTGTTGTTTGGTCATAAACAAGTGGATTAGACCAACTTCACTTAAATCATAAGCAAGTGTATTTGAAATATATTAACACCCAACTCAGGTCTGTCTCCCCGTTGGACCGGCCCCAGGCAGAGCCTGGGGGGTGGCGGGTCGGGAATGGCAGGCCAGCGGGGGACCCAAGCGGAAATGGATAACCCCAGAAGCAGAGACCTGGCGACTCCAGGGGCCCAGATGAGAGAGAGGCCTGGAAGCTCCGCCGGGCCTTGCAGGCTGAGTAGGAGCCGGCCCAGAGGAGGCGCCGGGGCGAGGCCTCGCAGGCTCCGGGCTGCGGTGAAGTGGGCGGGGCAGGGAGAGCGGGACTGGAGTAAGAAGAGAAGGACTCCGAGCCCCCGCGGGGGAGGGGGAGGGGGGAGGGCGGGGGAGACTGGGGGTGGAAGTTGGGGGATAGATTACTCTGAGGACGGCGGACGGTGGGGCCCTGCGTTTGAGGTCTCGCGCCACGGACCTGCTCTGTGGCTCAGGCGGGTCCTGGCCTCTCAAACCTCAGTTTCCTTCCCGCGAAGATCGAGGGGCATCTTCGGGAATCCAGGCCTGGTGAGTCCTGGACGGGGCGGGTGGAGGCTGCAACTCGAGCTGCCTAGGAGGGGTCTCCTGGACCCCGCAGCCAAGTTCGCTGCCCCGTAGAAACGCAGGGTCCGGAGACAGGGTCACCCTGGGGAGCTGCCGCAGCCAAGTTCTGCGGGACACCCTGCTGGGCCAGACGGGGCTCCGGGAGGAGGTGGCCCCCGGGAAGGCGTGGCCCGCGGGGACGTGGCGGGACAGATCTTTTCGCGGACCGGGGAACCGAGAGAGCAGCGGCGCTCTGGCTCTAAGGCGTGAGCCGGGGAGGTCCCAGAACAGTGATCCCTGTTTCAGTGCCCACCGCGGGGGCCACCGACGGGTCCGTCCCACGCCCCAGCCTACTTCTCTAACAAAAGAATCCGGAAAAACGCGGTGCACCGGCCTCCCACCCAGAGTGCGGTCCTGGCCGCGCAACCCTGGGAGGATTTTAGGGGGGAAACACACATCCCCAGGCACGCGGCAGAGGAGGAGGGACAGATCTGTGCCCTCCCGACCCCCTCTGCACCCGGGTGCTGGGCCCAGGACCGAAGTGAGGTCACTCCTCCAGCGAACTTCTGTGATCAGCTCCACGAACGCCCTTTCTAGACCGGCTCTTCCCCCACCCCAGGGCTCTGCTAACTTCTCTCCTAGCCCCTGTCTTGGCCGGTCCTTACTTTATTTAGTATTCAATTAATTTATAATTCACTCGTCATGATTTATTTCTGTCCGTTTGTTTACAGCGTGTCTCCCCGTTGAAAAGCAGGCTTCAGGAGGGACAGCCTTTGTTCTGTCCTCTGTTGTACTCCCAGTTACTTCCACAAACACTTCCTCAGGGCCTCCCCAGCCCCGCAGGGGTTGGATATTGGGACTACAGCGGGAACCAAGCCAAAGCCCTGTCCAGACCTTCTGGGAAGGTCTTCGTGGAATGAAGGAAGTCAGAACGAGGGTGTTGTGACTGGGTGGTCTTGGGTCAGACCAAGCAGTTTAGATAATGTGATCAGGGCTGGCCTCTCAGATTAGGGGATTTGAATTAAAGCCCACAAATAAACTGTGTGACAAGTGTGAGAAGACAAACACAGGAAGTTATAAAGGCACTTAACTCTGACCTAGCCTCAGAGGGCAAGGAGCTGAGGTCTGAATAGTGAGTCAAGAAAACAGGACCCAGCCCGTTAAATTGCTCCTAGGAGCCTGGCCTGGGTAGGTGGTTTGGTGTGGGATTATTAGAGGCCTGGGAAGGCTTCCTGGAGGTTAAGAGTTTTTGTCTTTTAGGCTAGCTTGACTGGGAGTGAGAATTGTTTTGCAGGCTCACTGGAAATCACGTGGTCAAGTGGTTGAGCCTTGTGGCCAGATAAGAGAGGCCCCAGCCTCGCCCAGCAAACTCTGCTGGTAAGTGGGCCATTTCCAAAAGTTGCCTCCCAGAAGGTGTGAGGGAATCGAACCGAGAGACCAGGCTCTGCTTCTACTGACCATATGACTTCGTACAGTTCACTCGGACTGCTCTGGGCCTCAGTTTTCCATGAGTCAGGAGGGCCAAGCCCTGGACGTTCGACCTCAGCGTTGGCACAAAGGGGCCCCCGGATTAGGGGATGGTTTAAGTACAGTGGTTTTTATGGGCTTGGGTCCATTTTCTCTCAGCTGGGCCTGTTTCTTTGAATTTTAAAAAGCTTTGTCAAAACCCTGCCATAACTCCTGGTCTGATGCAATCACATTCGCCTTTTTTCTGAGTCCTCTGATGTCTGGTGTTTCTCATGGCTTTCACAGCAGCCCCCTGAAGCAAAGGCAGGGTTGACCAGCTCATTTCACACGTGAAGCCACTGAGAGCCTCAAGGCCACAGAGCTGGGGCCCAAGTCTCCTCTGGAGCCAGCACTCTTTTCCCCATAGGACACAGGGGCTGCTTCCCTTTCTGATCTGTGGCGACCTCTCTTGCCTCGCAGTTCTTATGGGAGCCATGAAGCTGAACAAGAAAAGTGTGGCCCACTACGCACTAAACAACTCTCCAGCAGACCACATGGGCTTCCTGCGCACTTGGGGGGGCCCAGGGACCCCGTCCACCACCAGCGGCACTGGCAGAAGGTGCTGGTTTGTCCTCAAGGGCAATCTGCTGTTCTCGTTCGAGAGCCCAGAGGGCCGGGCCCCTCTGGGACTGGTGGTGCTGGAGGGCTGCACCGTGGAACTGGCGGAGGCTCCCGTGCCCGAGGAGTTTGCCTTCACCATCCGCTTCGATGCCCCTGGTGTGCGTCCACACTTACTTGCAGCTGATGGACCCGCAGCCCAGGAAGCCTGGGTGAAGGCGCTGTCCCGTGCAAGCTTTGGCTACATGCGCCTTGTGGTACGTGAGCTGGAGAACCAGTTGCGTGATGCCCGCCAGAGCCTGGCCTTGCATCGCCACTCATCCTGGAAGGCCATTACCGGCCACTGTAAGCCCCAGGCTGTTGCCCACTTGTCTCGGGGTCTGGAGAAAGGCCACTCCCTCTCCAGGGATTGCAGCCCCATGGGCTTGTCAGAAGTGGCAGGCAGCGCGACAGCAGAGCGGGGCGTGGCTGAATGTGAGTTCCAGGGCTCTACCAGCCTCCTTCTAAGCAGGGGCCAGAGTCCTGTATCCCCTGAGACCTCTTGCTTCTCCACCCTGCACAACTGGTATGGCCAGGAGATCCTGGAGCTGAGGCGGGGGTGGCTGCAGAGGACCCGGGAGAGGCAGCCAAAGTGTGAGCAACAGGATAGGCCCTGAACCTGGACCCTTTGGATTTTGCTCTTGTCCTGCTGGTCAGGACATGAGGGCCAGTTCTTTTTCAGGAGTCTGATGTTTACTCATTTCCAAAGTTGATTTTTAAAAATCTGTTTTATTTTTATTTTAGAGAGAGAGAAAGGAAGGGGGAAGAGAAAGCGAGAAAGAAACATCGATTTGTTGTTCCATTTACTTATGCATTCCTTGCTTGATTCTTGCATGTGTCCTGACCAGGGATCCAACCCGCAACCGTGGCATATCGGGATGATGCTCTAACCAACTGTCCGGGGCCAAGTTTCTTTTTTTGAGGAGGGTTCCCTAGGTTCCAGATCCACCCTTGTGCCCGGAGTGGACTGAGGAATCATTGCTTGTAAACTCTATTTCCTGAGGCCCAGAGAGCAAAGGTGGCTTGCTCGGCAGCCACGGAGTGAGGGCCAAGTCTCCTGGCACTGGGCTGGACTGCGCCCCTCTTCGGCAATATTAGTGAAATGAAGAAGGTAGGGAATATTATGTGCCTACGGACCACCTGGCCTTTCATCCACATGCCAAACTCAGCCACAGTTTCCAACACGGGGAGACTCGTGTACATTTAAAAACCAGAAATTAGCTACAGGATTGGTTTCAGACTGATAGTATCAGAGAAAGTGGATTTATTATATCGTGGGGGTCTCTGGGGTTCAGCTCTTCCTGAGTGGTGGGAAGATTGGACATGTGACTCCCCCCACTCTACAGTCTGGAGCGGCCCTTTGGTGGGAGAGGGCCATCGGCCAATATAGAGGGATTCATGCTGCTCAGAAAGTGTTAGGGGGCCCATCCTCTCTCCCCCTCTCTGACTGTCCTGTCAGCAGATGGTGCTAGACCTTGACTGGTAGCTTTTATGTCAGCAGAAACCTTTACTGTGTTCTGTCTGCAGCAGCCAGCTCCTGAAGCTAAGTGGGAAGCTGAAGAAGAGATGGGCAGGCAGTGTGGTTCTCCCAGGGAGTCCGTTTTGTGTTGGTTCTCAGTCCTGGACACTCTAGGAGCTTTGGCACAGGATTCCTGGTACCCTGTGATAAATTCTTCTCCCCTGCCCGGCTCCCAGAGAGGTCTTCCTGCTTCTGGAACCACCTGGGAACTTGTTTACAATCCTGCTTGTCATCCAGTGTTGCCCCGCCAGCACCCTCTCATTGCTACTCGCACCAGCAGGCCAGGTGTTTTCTTTTTCAATTATTCTGGAAGGCAAAGTGGCTGGCTCCATAGAGCCAGAGAGACCAGACTAGCCTGATGCCCAATGGACATGGTGACAATAGCTGGATAGAAGATGCAAAGCCTGGGCAGAGGATGCCCTCACCCCCAGTACACACAGTCTGTTCCTCTCTCCCTTACTGCGGCCTCGGGCAGCCTGACCAGGGCCCAACTAGGGCTAGAGACTGAGGCTCGGAGCCTCTTAAGGCCAGGAGGCTGAAATGCGGGGCCAGCAGCCAGGACCGGTTCTCGGCGTGTTTCCAAGGAAGAGGGTCCGCTTTCCCAGCCCTGTACTGGAGAACCTCCCAGCCCACTGCCCCTTGTTTTATACAGATACTCCAGGATTTTATCTTTCTTATTGTGACAGTATTTTTTGTACGATTAAAACACTAAGCTTTTTATTACTCATTTCCATTACTCGAGTTTATTTCAACAATCACAGGAGGGCTGCTCGGTCAAGGTCTGGCTCTCCTGGGTGGGGAACAACGAAATCTAAAACCCTCCTAAAGTAGATACTAGTTCACGGTCCCGCCTACTAGGCTTGGAATGAAGGGGGATTGGGCTTCCCCGTCGTCCTTGTGACGTCACGACGTCGAGCGGATGGCGACAACCGCCTCCCTCCCACCCCAACAGAAACTTGGCGCGCGGCACCGAATGTGAGGTGGGCCTCTCGTCTGCTCCGGAAAGCATCGCGAGGCTTGAGGCAGCGTTCTTTCCGAGGGTGGTGCCAGGGCTAGGCGCAGGGCCTGGGGGCCAGGGATGGCGTCCCGAGCGGTTCGTTGGCTGGTATTCGCACCCGTCCGACCCGTGGCTCTTCGGAGCGGACCGACCTTGAAGAAAGATGGCGGCATCTCCGCCGAACTGGGCGGCTCAGGTCGGAGCCTGGTACCGTCGAGGTCAGTCATCGTTACTCGCAGCGGCGCCATTTTGCCCAAGCCCGTGAAAGTGAGTGTCTGCCTGGAGGCGGGGCAAAGGTGCCGAGGCCAATCGCGGTGGGGAGTACGTTCGGGTCGACTTTGATTTGATAGGAACAAAGGCCAATCAAACGACGGCCTTAGACCGGAAGACAGATCTAGGGTAAAATTTTGCTCTAATGCGCTAATTTTGACAGGTGGGAAGCAAAGGGTGTAGGTCCAGGTGTTGAACTGAGTGTTGGGAGTCCGATCCTAGAAGATGGGCGACAAGAACTGAGAAAGATGGCATTTTGCATTATCTTATCGTGAAAGTCCATCTCCGGAGCCAGAAGTCTGGGCTTTAGGCGTCCAATATAGACAAGACGTGTGTCCTCTCTGCTCTGTCTACCTCAGAGTTGATGGAAACAAATAACGAATTATAAAAGGGCTTTGTAAATGAAGTGTAGCTGAGATGGGTCTTATATTTTTTTGAGTTTTGACCTAGTACTTAAATCGTGATTTGCAGTCCTGTGAGGTGTGCACAGGATGATTACAATCACTGTTTTTACGAATGGAGAAGAGCGTGTTTGTTGGGGGGGGGGGGGGGGGGGGGGGCGGTGGTGGTGGTCAGAATGGTGAAACCAGTGTCCCAAGCTAGCAGCTGAGTTTGGTCCAAGGATCCAAGTTTCTTGCTATTACAGCCCCAACCAGGTCCTGTGTTTTCCACCACTAATGCTTTTACTTGCCTTCAGTACCCTGGGGCTTTCTAAGTAAAATGTAACAGTCCCGTTTGCTTTTTTGACCCCAGGACTGTGTGGGAGTTAGAAAACAAAGGCGTTAGATGCCTGGCCTCTGCTAGTTTGCACAAACGAGTAAATTCAGGGCTGTTTCATAGCAAGAAGCAGGAAGGTGTTTGGGAAGAGATGCTTTACGAAAAGGCATGGCTGAAAAAGAAGTTTTGGGGACTCTATAGGAAAATACCAAAGGAAATGTTGAGATTTTATGCAACACCCGAGACCACTTATAAAGTTAATTTTTCAGTGTAAAGACATGCTCACCTTTCAAAACACACCTGTTTCTAAAATTTAATTTGGTGAAATCAGATTTCTCGGTCACCAGGAAACCTGTTACTTCCAGAACTCTGTAGAATATCCCTTCACTGTACATCTTTTTGTAATCTTTTTTCATGTCTTTAGTGTTTTCAAGTAGAGCAGAACCTTATTTCTATAGTCCATCCCTCAGTACTTTTTCACCCATTCGTTTATAGGTATCTGCAAGTAATTAGCAGGTTGTGCCCCAATTTTTAGATGTTTAGAGCGCCTTTATCTTTTCCTTCCAGCATCTACTTCAGTGCCATAAAATCACTTTATCTCTTCTATTTTTTTGCTCTGAATTTCCCAGGGGCTTTAAAATCAAGTTGCTTCTGGTGGGTCGGGTCCTTAGGGGGAATGACCTTGAGAGGGCCAGGCCTTCTGCCATCTTGCTATAGTGGGCCCTGAGGCTCACAGCCGCCGCTCTGACCTCTGCAGATGTCCTTCGGCCTTCTCCGTGTGTTCTCCATTGTGATCCCCTTTCTCTACGTTGGGACGCTCATTAGCAAGAACTTTGCTGCTCTACTCGAGGAGCATGACATTTTTGTCCCAGAGGACGATGATGACGACGACTAACAGGTAAGACCTGCTGTTCCCCTACATGAACCAGGAGCGGGAAGGGGTTGGAGAGGCTGAACTGATGCAGTGTGGCCTGGTAGCAAGCAGCATCTGGATGCTCAGAACAAAGTTCAGAGCTTGAATGAATTGACTCACTTGGTAGCTAATTTTGCCTTTTCTCTATGTTGGATGAGGGAACCTATTTGGAAGGACCACCGCCTAGATTCCCTGGGGTCCTTCCAACTAGGTTGGATTCCAGCCAGCCTTTTCATTTGCCCTTTAGGTACCCTTATTCTGTCCACTCCCAAATTTTCTCGACAATTAAAAAATTTGTTTTTCAATCCTCACCTGATGTTTACTGATTTTAAAGAGAGAGAGAAACATCGATCTATTGCCTCTCATATGTGCCCCAGTCAGGGATGGAACTTGTAACCACTTGGTGTACGGGATGACACTCCAAATCCACAGAGCCACCCAGCCAGGGCTTTTTTTTTTGGCAATTTAATACGCTTTAAACACCCACCACAAACAGCTTCATTGCATACTGAAATTTAGAAACTGCACATTCTCACCATGGACAGCCATGGTTACCAAGCTCTGCACCAGCTCGGCCTGGACACGGGCACTACAGCCTGGTCACCACTGCCCACAAACCCTCCCCCACAGTGCCAGTCCCGTTCAGTTTCTTGTGTTGACTCCAGTGCTCTGATATGTGCTGTGTGGTGGCATTACCATCATAGATGAGGACACTCCCGATTCTTTAGCCTGGCATTCAAGGCTTGGCATGTTGTGGTCATACCTGTTGTTCTAGCCTCATCTCCCATATTCCTCCACACGCCTACCCTAGTATTCACCATTTCTTGAATTCCCATGCTCTTACCCACTCCCAAGCATCGGCTCATTGTTCCTCCCACTCGGAGGGCTGTATCCCACTGCTGTTTCCACCAGTTCTTCGTTGTCTTTGAGAGTCTTCCCACACACCTCTGCTGGAAAAGACTGCTCCTTCCTCTGACCGACCATTACCTCTCTGGTGACACTCAGCATTATGTGTCTATACACATACACCACCCCTCTCCCCCAAACTCTACTAGACTAGGAGCTTCTTGCTGGCAGGGAATGTGATTTTTATACCTTTGGGCCCCCAGTCCCTGGTCCGTGGTGAATGCTTAGTAAATGTATGAATGAGCAGTCAAATTGATTCTGAACTGCCCCTCTCCTCTTTGGTGGAACCACTCTGTGGAAATCTCTTCCAGCCTGTGGATAAAGAACTCTGCTGCCCCAGTTCACTGCGGCTTTCCTTTCTTACAGGTCAGGAAGTACAGGAAAGAGCAAGCCCTAACTGAATTAAGAAATGGTGATGCTTATAGCTTCTCCTCCCTGCCTGTCAGCAGAAGGGCCCAGGGAAGTCTCCTGCATGGTCTGTGACCACAGCCCAGAGTCCCAGGCTCTGGGAGAGTCCCTGAGCTGTGCTGTCCACTGGGCGCAATCAAACAATGAATAAACATGATAAACATCAGCGGTGTGTAACTGAGTGATGGCCGGAGTCTTGGCGTGAGTAGGCTATAGCTGTTAGTTCCTGGTCTCTGCTGTGCTGTTCTCCAACAGGCCTTTGGTTTACAACCCACGATCTCCAGGCCCCTACAGGCTCACAATTATGGAGGCCTGGGGCCTATTTTCATTATTTACAAAACCCAACAAAAACTCTTTTCCCTCAGTGAGGCTGCACAGGTGAATTAAACCCTCAAGCCTTTGTGTTGAGTAACACTAGCTAATTGTCACATAGCAATCAATCGTAGAAGCTTTGGTTGTTAGTTTAAAACTACTTGAAAAATACTAAAGTGATTCTTTCAAAACTTGGGTCCTTAGTTGAAGGGATAATCAAAGGGTTGTTGGTGCTGAAAAATTTGGAAACCCTAAGGGTGACTGTAAATACTGAACCCCCTTTTCCAGGATTTAGACAGTCCAGGGGAGGAACAGAGGACTGTCATCCAAGTAAAGCAGAGATCAGTTCTTTAACCTGGGTCAGTATTCACCCTGTCCCTTGAAAGCCACACCACTGTGCAAAAACCAGTTGGAGTGTTTCTGTTTTCTGTGCGCTGAGCATCTGTGTCCCCAGCAGGGAGCCTAATTGAGTAGGAAATTAATTTCATCTTAAGGACCTGTCTGTGCTTATTGCAAATGGAGGGGCTAGGCCTCTGAGCAGCCATTTTCCTCAAAACCCAGGGAAAAATCGCCTGGCTCCTCTGCTCGACTTATGTCCCTCTCCAACAGCAAGAGCCGGCTAATTTTGGAGAATCTGTGCCAGACCACCAAACTATCCAATCCTGCAGGCTGCAGAAATACAGCTAAATAATGATGTCATCCAGCCTCATATCTAGTGTGACAATTTCTGAACAGATGGCCTCATCTTTCCTGTTTATAACATGCGAGGCTCTGAAAAAGAGAATCCAGTTTAATTTACAGGAAACCCCACACTTCAGGAAAAGGGAACAAACAGGTGGTGTGTGTACTCTGAACCCACTTGTTCAGGCAAAAAGTGAGACCAGAAACGGAGCTTCCCATTGGTTCACCAGTGGAATGCTACCATGAAGGGATCATCATATACTGAGTTTATTCATACTCTGATGTATTTAAATATTAACATGCACTGAATAACTTCATGGGTCATGGCCAACGTAGAACTTGGACAGGAAATCCTTTGGCCTTGGCGCTTCTGTCTCATGGAAGAATCGCATGATGTGTGTCCGCTGCTTCCACACTTGAATCGTTTCCTCCAGTTCCATCTTTCCCTGCATGAGCGAGGGGAGAGGTCTTTAGTCAAAGTGGTCCAGTGAAGGAATACAACACCGAAGGCCAGGCTTCTGTTTTCTGCTTGGCACTGACAGGAGTGACGTGGGCGAGTAATGAACTCGGTCTAGACCAGTTTCTGCATCTGGAAAATGAGGTGTTGGACTAAATGATCTTTGGGGCCTTTCAGATACTCCAACTGCGGCTAACTGGTCTAAGAGGAGAGACTTCTAGGTCAGTAGGCTCCTGCTCCATGATGCCTAACCTGACTGGCTTAACTCGTATTTCTGCTTACCATGCTAAAGCTCCTTCCCACTGATGCTTGTGTGAGCGGGGAGAGACAGAATCTGGCCAGGATTTGACCCTTTACATGGGACTCAGCCAGCCAGCCTGTTTCTTCCAGCTGTAAGCTGACAACCAGGTGGAGCCATAACTTCTAAGGAGGAGGTTAAGAAGAATTCCAACTTTCATCCCTATACCTTATTTTTTAGTTATAAAATGCAAGCTCCAATGGATTTTCCCTTGAACAATCTTATAATCTATTTAACCAGATGATAATCTCCAGGTTCCTTTGAAACACTAGGCAACAGTTGCCAACCCAGCAGTTGCTTTTTAATCTTGGAAACAAAATGTCCACCTGGGAAGACTAGAAAGCTCTGGACAAGCCTTTGGAATCCTTCAGGGAAGGCCAGTTACCTTAATGACCAGAAGATCCACCACTCTGGGGTCTGTGACGTGGGCATTCTTCATAAACATTTCTCGGACTTTCTCCCGCCCCTGTTTCACAGAGATGTCTAGCTGGAATAAGTTCACTAGAGAGAAAACATGATTCAGGGTAGAAGTCTTATGGTTATGACATGTTTTTGTTTTTTAATTGAGTCAATGGACAGTCATTAAACACAGACAGGTTGCCCATCCACCACATTCACCGAATGTTAGCCTGGCTCTAAGCTCGGTGCTTGAGGACGGGAAGAAACATGAGATGTGGTGGTGGCCCTCAAGGAGCGTATGTTTTGTTTGGGGAGACGACCAGTATAGCATAGTTCAAGTGTATGAACAACCTGGGCTCAAATTCCAAGTCTGTCCCTTCCCAGCTATGTGAGCCCGTGTGCATTCGCTTCCCGGTGTCTGAGTACATTTACGAGTGAGATGAGGACAGTAAAACACAGGTAACTCCAGAGCGGTTGTGAGGATCTGAGACAATGCAAGATGCTTAGAACAGTGCCTGGCAGAGTGTTAGTGTTATTATGTAGAACATTGGCAAAGGATAAGGGGCTGAAATCGGGAAGAGGATGTGGTGTGGGCCTGCGCACCACACAAACGTAGCGGTGAGGGAGACGGCTGAGGGTTTGTGCAGAGACGGAGGCTTCAGTCCAGCCAGCAACTACTGTGATAGGTTCCTGGGGGAGGGGGAGAGAAGTCTATCATGTGGGCCCTGTTCTCTCAGTTTTAAATTCTAATTGGAGGGGCTGCTATCCATGAATGCAAACATGAATCACAATATTCAGCAACCCCTGATTAAATAAATGCCTAAAACAGTGGCACGAACTCCATGACCTGCGACTTGAGGTGAAGCACATGGATGTCCTTTGAAAATTATGTTTTAGCCCTGGATGTTGTGACTCTGGACAGAGCACCAACCTGCATAACAAAAGGTTGCTGGTTCATTTCCCAGTCAAGGCACGTGCCTGGGTTGTGGGCCAGGTCCCCAGGTGGGGGTGCGCAGGAGGCAATTGATCAGTGTTTCACATATTGATGTTTCCTTCCCTCCCTCCCTCCCCCTCTCTAAGAACAAATAAAATCTTTGAAGAATTTACAGTTGGGGCTCTTTTAAGGAAGGATATGTGGAATCTTCCCCTACTATCAGTACAACCCTCCCCTGAATTTTTATACTAGATTCCTGTCCACCCTGGGAGAACAAACCAAGGTACCCCTAGGTGTACCCACGGAGCTGGCCCCACCGCTCCCATGTCTCAGCCTCCGAGCCACACAGTGGGGTGCTGGGTGTGTGACTCTTCTCAGGGAAATGTCACATGCACAAATGCAAAGTTTTGCTTACAGTGTGAGCTCACAGACCCCCGAATGCCTATCCTCCCAGCTTAGCAACACTTGTCTCAAGAAAGATTGCACAGCTTTGTCCTCGGCTTGCTCCTCTCGTCCTGACCCCTGAACACAACCCTCCACTAGTGAGAAAGGCCTTCTGAATGGTTCTTTGGTCTAAATCAGTGGCTCTCAAACCAATAGTGACTTCGCCATCCACGCCCTCCACCACCCACCGCCAATGTTCCAATATTTGGCAGTGTCTGGGGGCATTTTGGTTCGTCTCGGGGAGAATGCAATTGGCACCTAGAGGGTAGAGCCAGGGAGGCCGCCAACATCCTACAACGCCCAGGACAGCACCAGAAAACAAAGAATTATCCAGCACAAGTGTCACTACTGAGAAACCCCAGTGCAAATCAATTCCAAGTGTTCCCTACCTCTTGCTCCTCCCCATAACTAGAAAGGATTCTGGGCACTCATAGAAGTATTGTTTCTGCTAGAGAAACATTATGTTCTGAAACCTCTGGATCTAAATACACACCCCGAACAGTGACTTGCTACAGTCACTGCCCACACCACAGCCAATGAAGGCACTTGCATTTGCAGTTCATGAACTAGTAGTTCACTCACGTTCCTCCCTCCCTAGCGTCCTGTGTAAGTTGTGGTCATCAACAATATCTCAAAAAGTCGGCTTGCAGTCAGGGACCCTGCGGAGCAGGCACAGCTCCTACCCATCAAAGAACTCCTGCAAGGAGTCTCCTGCTGGGGTGATATCAAATATCAGTGGTGATAACAATAATACAAGCAACGGTAGCAGCCAACATTTAATGCTCACCTAAGTGCCAGGCCCTATCCTAAGCCGTCTAGATATTAACCTGTTTTACACGGTGACTCTGAAGAGGGTACTATTATTTCCTCTATTACAGATGAGGAAACTGAGGCACAGTGAGATAAAATAACTTGTCCAAAGTCACACAGCTACTAAGGGGCAAGGCCCGGAGGCATGTCCAGTCACCACATTCTACTCTTTAAACACAGGCAGGGACGCGGCGCTCTGCGGGGTGCCGTGGTGGGCCAGCTAGCCTAAAAACACCTTCCCTCTCAGACAGCATGATGGTCTGCACGGAAACACGCTAAATCGACAACATAAAATATCCGGTCCCTGGCATGCGCACTGACTGCCCTTGACAGTTTAGATGGGATTTCTCCCAACCTTCCTTTCATCGGGTACACTGGGTGGGAAGCACTGAAGGCGATAAGAAAACCAAGTCTGTGCACCCCGCAGCTTATATTTTAATGCATCAGGTGAACAGATTGGTTTTCTGACATCTAAGTGATTGCAGGGGTTCTGAAGTAGAGGGCAGGAGAGCAGGGGGTGGAGAGGAGCGCCTAAGGATTACTAGGAGTAGGTAGAAAGAACAGACGGAGCAAGACTTGAGAGACTGAAGGAGGGAGGGGAAAATATCTCATTGAAGGGACTGGAAAAGGCATCACTGACTTATGGATGACCTTGGGACAGTCACCTCCCTTCTCTGGTTCAGTGTCTTTTTTGTGAGATGTGGGTACCAGATGATCGCCCAAGCCCGGCAGCCACTTTGGTTATACAGGTAATAGGCTCGAGTGGACTTTGGGTTCCAGATCCACCACGGGCTAGCTTTGGCCCTTGGGCATGTCACGTTGCCTCTCCGTGCTTCAGTTCCCTCCCCTATAAAATTAGTATGTCACTGATAGTCCCTGCTCTCTCTCCAAGGGTTTCGTTAAGAATCACAGCGGAACATGGGAGCCGAAGCGCCGAACGGATGCCGGACATGGCTGGTATGAGCTCAGCGCCGCTGCCAGGTCGGGTCCACCAAGAATCAGGTGACCCTCCTCCCCTGAAACGTGCGGGGTAGCCTCAGCCCAAGTTGGTGACCTCGGCTCGGCCCGAAAGAAAGCGGAGGCCAGGGCCGCTGCGACCTTGAGCGGCTGCCGCCGGAGTCCCGCGTACGTCGATGCCTCTCACCAGTGGTTGGCACCTCCCGATACCAGGCGCGGTACAGCTCGCGTACCCTCCGCTTGGCCTCGTTCATGTCTCGACTGAAAATGGGCTTCACCGAGGTGCTGGCCGCACCGGCGGCCCGCCGGAGGCCGCTCGCCGCCATCTTGCTACGGAAACCACTTCCCAGCCCACCCCCTTACAACCCCGCTAGTGAGGCCAGAGGTCGAAAGTCTCTTCTCATTGGCTAAACCCGAAAGCCACGCCCCCAAAACGCCGTAGGGTGGACGGGAGGACGGCTCCGGGGCTCTCTGATTGGCCCGGAGGCCTCAATCTCTGGGTGGGAGAAAATCCTCTACAGGCTGCTTCCGCTGGTCTGCAGAAATGCGAGCTGGTCGGCGGGACGCCCTAACCGTCGCCCTACGACGCCGACAGGGGGCGCTCGGGCACAAGGCTGGCCACGGCCTTGCTAGTGGCGCGGGGCCACGGAGCTGCCTGCTCCCAGCCCCCCGCGGCGCCCCTGTGGGAGCGCCAGTCCGCGCACAGAGCTCGAACTTCCTTGCTCAGCTCCCGAGGCGCGGGCCGCGGGGTCCCAGGTGACGGCTGAGGCAGGTAATGGTGCCCGACGGCCGTGGCGCCGGTGTGGCCCCTCTGCATTTTTTTTTTTCTCCTCATAAATGAACTCTCTCGAAGCGCGGTATAGATGTGAAAGCGCTTTCCTGCCCTTTGCTTCTCGGCGCTTTTCCACAGCCCAGGGAGGTAGGTTATAGCATCAGCCCCGTTTTGGACAAGGACATTTTCAACCCAAACTGAAGAGGTCTGTGAAAAACAGCCCAGGAGTTCGCAGCTGGGTATCTCCTTCCTTCCTGGCACTTTTCTGCGGAGGTAATCTGAACATGGAGAGCCTGCAAGTGTGAGAGGAAAAGTAGCCCCTGACATGGCAGCAGCCGCACTAGTTAGTTACCTAGCCGTCTTTGATTGCGTGGGTCAGGTAGGTCCCGTTTGCATCCCCGTCGTACCGGTGGGGAAACCGAGGTGGCGCCGAGACCGCGCTGTTTGCCCCGTTAGGTCCTCCGCGGCTCCCTGGCCCCGGCCTGGCGTTCGCGTCTCTCCCCGGGTGCCTTGCGACTGTAGGGAAGGGGCAGCGGCTGCGCTGCGCCCGGCCCGGCCAGCACGGGCTGTGGCCCTCCCTCTGGCCCAGTCTCTCCCACTCGAAAGAGTTAAAAACTTGAATTCTAGTCTCCTTTTATTTTAAAATATATTCGTACATTTAAATGAATCCTACAAAAGAAAGTATGTCACATAGATAAATAATAAAGCACGATAATAAAATGAAAGCTTTTGAATGCCAGTATCTTAAGAAATGGTAATGGCAACTTAAGAAATGGTAATACAGTGAAAATCTCTATAAAGCATACAATGTACCTGGTAAGCACTGTTTTAAGGTCCCCCTGGCACACTGACTTTGTTTAAGCTTCACAACACACCTGTGAGATAAACGTACCCATTTTAGAGATGAGAAAACTGATACACAGACTGGGTTGCTTGACAGCTTTGGGTTGAGGCCTCATAGGTAGTGGCTCCCGAGTCTGTGCTCTGCCTCTCACAGCATCTATACAGTATCTACCTGTGTGACTGCCCTGTCCATGCTCCTGCCTCCTCCAGGTGTAACCTCTATCATGAATTTAGTATTTAATATTCCTTTTCATTAAAACAAAAAAGGGGCCTCCAAAACCACCCACAAGCTGGGGGGAAATATTTGTAAATCTTGTATTTTGTAAGGGACTTGTAGCTAGAATATATAAAAGGTTCTTACAACTTGGTAATAAAAAGACAGTTCAATTAAAAACGAACACAGGTGATGTCAAATGCTGATGAGGATGTGAAGTAGCAGGAAGGCTCATTCATCGCGGGAGAGAATGCAAAATCACACTGCCACTTTGGAAGACAGGTTAGCAGCTTCTTAACAAAACGAGGCATTTAAATTTTTTTTTTTTTTAAGACAGAGGGGAAGGGTCAGAGAAAGAGAGGGAGTGAAACATCAATGTGTGATTGCCTCTCACGTGCCCCCCACTGGGGACCTGGCTGGCAACCCAGGCATGTGCCCTGACTGGGAATGGAACCTGTGACCCTTTGGTTCGCAGGCCAGCACTCAGTCCATTGAGTCACACCAGCCAGGGCAAAACAAAGCATTCTCAACGCCACTCAGCCATCCCACTTCTTGGCATTGCCCAATGAACTGAAAAGTTATGTCCACAGAAAATCTGCAGTGGATGTTTGTATTCATGATTGCCAGAACTTGACAGCAACCAAGAAGTCCTTTAGGAGGCGAATGAATACATACACAGCGGTACCGGCAAACAATGGGGCATTCTCCAGCGCTAGAAAGAAACGAGCTATAACGCCATGAAAAGACGCAAAGGAAACCTAAGTGGGTATCACTAAGGGAAAGAAGCCCATGTGAAAAGGCTACATACTGTGTGATTCCAGATGTACGACATACCGAAAAAGGGGAAAACTGTGGAGATAATGAAAAGGTCATCGGCTGCCAGAGGCTGGGAGCAGGGAGGGATGAACAGGTGCAGCACAGAGAGTTTTTAGGCAGTGAAACCATTCTGTATGATACTATAATGGTGGACACACGTCATTGTACATTTTCCCAAACCCATAGAGTGAGCCCTAATGTGAATTATGAACTTTGGGTGACAATTATGTGTCAGTGTACGTTCGATGATTACAACAAGTGTGTCACTATGCTGAGGGATGTTGGTAGTAGGGGAGGCTGCGAGTACCTGTGTGTGGGGGGAGGAGTGAAGTGCATACGGAAGTCTGTGTACTTTACCACTCAATTTTTCTGTGAGCCTACAACTACTATAAAATGACTTTTTAGGTAAGCAAAGGATTTGAATAACTATTTCTCCAAATTAGATATACAAATGACCAGTAAATACACAAGAAGACATTCAATATCATTAGTCATTAGGTAAATGCAATTTAAAACTGTAAGATACCACTCTCCGACTACAATGCCTAAAATAAAAAAGACAGACAATAGTGTTGGTGAGGATGGGAAGAGACTGGAACCCTTGTACAATGCTGGGAATGTAAAATGGTGCAGCCACTTTGAAAAATTCTGGTAGTTTCTTTTTTTAAAGTATATTTTATTGATTATGCTATTACAGTTTTCCCAGTTTTTTTCTACCCTTTCTCCCCCCTCTGCCCTGCAACCCCTAACCCTCCAGTCCCCCCACCCCCTTAGTTCATGTCCATGGGTCATTCATAGAAGTTCTTTGGCTTCTCTGTTTCATATACTATTCTTAACCTCGCTCTATTTTATGCCTGCCATTTATGCTTCTTATTCTTTGTACTTTTCTCCCCCATTCCTCCCCTCCCTCTCCCCACTGAAAACCCTTGATATGATCTCCATTTCTCTAGTTCTGTTTCTGTTCTTGTTGTTTGCTGAGCTTTCATTTTTGTTTTTTAGGTTCAGTCATTGATAGTTATGAGTTTGTTGTCAATTTACTGTTCATATTTTTTTATCTTCTTTTTTTTAAATAAGTCCCTTTAACATACAATAAGGGCTTGGTGATGATGAACTCCTTTAACTTAACCTTATCTGAGAAGCACTTTATCTGTCCTTCCATTGTAAATGAAAGCTTTGCTAGATAGAGCAATCTTGGATTTAGGTCTTTGTCTTTCATGACTTGGAAAACTTCTTTCCAGCCCCTTCTTGCCTATAAGATTTCTTTTGAGAAATCAGCTGACAGTCTTATGGGAACTCCTTTGTAGGTAACTGTCTCCTTATCTCTTGCTGCTTCTAAAATTCTCTGCTTCATTTTAATCTTGGGTAATGTAATTATGATGTGCCTTGGTGTATTCCTCCTTGGGTCCACCTTCTTTGGGACTCTCTGAGCTTCCTGGACTTCCTGGAAGCCTATTTCCTTTGCCAGATTGGAGAAGTTCTCCATTATTTGTTCAAATAAGTTTTCCACTTGTTGCTCTTCCTCTTCTCCTTCTGGTACCCCTATAATTAGGATGTTGGAACATTGGAAGATGTCTTGGAGGTTCCTAAGCCTCTTCTCATTTTTTTGAATTCTTGTTTCTTCATTCTTTTCTAGTTGGATGTTTCTTTCTTCCTACTGGTCCATACCGTTGATTTGAGTCCCAGTTTCTTTCCCATCACTATTGGTTTCCTGTGCATTTTCCTTTATTTCACTTAGTGTAACCTTCATTTTTTCATCTAATTTGGGACCAAATTCAGCCAGTTCTGTGAGCATCCTGATCACCAGTGTGTGTTGAACTGTGCATCTGATAGGTTGGCTATCTCTTCATCACTTAGTTGTATTTTTTCTAGAGCTTTGATCTTTTCTTTCATTTGGGCCATTTCTTGTTTGTTTGTTTTGACGGGCCTGTTACGTGGTAAAAGGAGAAGCTTTAGGTGTTCTCCAGGGTGGGGTAATTCACTTCACTGTGTTGTGACCCTGTACTTTGGGGAGGGGTCTGAGAGGGAACAATGGCCCTTGCTCAGCTCTCAGCTGGATTTCAGTCACTTCCTCCGTTTCCTACAAGCAAATTGGGCCCTTCTGGTGCTGGTTCCCGGGTGGGTGGGCTTGTGTATGTTCTAGGACCTTGTGGTTCTCTCCAACAAACTCTCCTGTGAGGCTGGGAGTCTCTCCCACTGCCACCTCAACCTTCACAGGTGTTTTCAGTTGGTGGTTTGAGGCTTTATTTCCCTGCGCTGGGGCCCTGGGTTGCGCAGTCTGTCCTGCTCCCCGTTGTTTCTCCCGGTTTTTCCGTGCGCAAATGTGGGACTGCTTAGTCTGCAGTCCGCCACCTCGCAGGGTCCACCTGCTGCTGCCTTGCGCGCTCTGCTCCACAGTCCCGCCCCCTTGCGTTCAATCCACTCAGTCCAGCTACACCAGCCAGGGCCTGTTTGTTTCTTTTTTTAAATCGAGAATTTCACCTGGCAGGTGTGGCTCAGTGGTTTGAGCTCTAGCCTGTGAACCCCGGGTCGCCGATTTGACTCCGAATCAGGGCACAAGCCTGGGTTGCAGGGCCAGGTCCCCAGTGGGTGGGTGGGGGGGCATGTGAGAGGCAACCGCACACTGATGTTTCTCTCCCTTTCTTTCTCCCTCCCTTTCCCTCTTTCTAAAAATAAATAAATAAAATCTTTAAAAAAGAATGTCCTCAGGTAAGGATTAAATCTGAGAATTTCCTAATTTCGCCCCAGCATTCCTGATGGATATTTTCATTGGGTATGGGAGTCTGAGTTGACAGTTTAAACTTAAAAAAAAAAAATGCATGTTACTTCCTTCTGGCCCCTATGGCTTCTGATGTGTAATCAGCTGTCATTCAAATTGGTTTTGAATGACAAAATCAGGGTATTGTTTTTCTCTGGCTACTCTCAAAAGTTTTTTTTTTTAAATTTTTCGGAAGTTTGTGATGTAGCTTTGTGTGGACTTGTGTGAATTTAGCTTGTTTGGGATTGGCTCAGCTTCTTGGGTCTGTCATGCCTCTTACAAAGTTTGGAGAGTTTGCTTTCAGTATTTGCTCAGCCTGCCCTCCTTCCCCTCCCCTTCCAAGGCTCCGAGGTCAGGACGCTCCATCTTTTT